ACCCATCAAATCACTCTAGCCAAGTGATTTTTATTCTTTTTATAATAAAACTAGCGATATTAAAATAAAAAAAACAGGTGGTTGCCGTGGCAAAAATTTTTTTATGGTCACTCCGGTCGCGATTAATACTCTCTGCCCTTTAACAAGTTTAAGCTATGTTTTTTTTTTCAAAATTATTGCCAGATCCGAATTGAATCCATTTTAGGTGTAGAAATGATCCCCAGACGCTTTCATTTCAAAATACTATGTTAGTAAATCGAATTTCGATCTGGGCTTTAGCTGAAAAATGGAGCTTTTTTTGTAAAGTGTACGGGGAAGTTTTTTTTTGATCACCCTGATCCCCTTCAGCTGTAATTTAGTCATCGAGTTCCAATGAATCGGTTTTTCGCATAACAAATTGAGTAAGTGAGCATTTCATGTTTGTCCCAACTCTGTAACTCTAAATTTGGTTCCCTATCTCTATAAATTTCGTTCCCGATCTCTCTAAATTTTTGTTCCTGATCTCTCTAAATTTGGTTCCTTATCCTTCTTAACGATTTTTTCTATATACCGATTTAGTAAAGCGTTAAAATAAACAACCTTCAAACTCAAAAGTGCCCATAAATATTGAAGAGCCTGTAGTGATTGGACCTGGTATGACAAATAATCAGACAAAAGGTTGGCCCAATGTTTTCCTTGAACTCGTTTATACGATTGGAGTTTGAGAATTGTCAGAAGTACGAAAACGAATGATATCAACATGTGCCTGGATTGTTTATGTCGATGAGGCACATTTCTCGAAGTGGAGAGAACTGCAGGAGTGATGTTGCAATGGACATCACACGATTGCGCTCTCTTCAGAGACGTAGAAAGCACTGGAAATGATTTGTGGTAGATTTATCGTATCGTTCCGATTTTGTATTGAGGTTTATTGATCATCATTAGGCATTGATCATCGAGGCTCAAGCCTATCAAGATCTTGGTAGATCTGCTAGTGAGAAAAGAAATGGCTTTACCTGTAGAAAGGCAGACGTTCAGCTTGATCATCCAAGAGTACGGTGCCCGATCCAGTGCCTATTTGACTCACCATCTTTAAACACAAAAGTCATTTGATTTCCAGACACTAAAGGTGGAATTGGGTTAGCCACTCAGGAAATTAATAGAGAAAAATGTACAGGTAGAGTATTGTAGTTTGAAATTTCAACCGAATTACGATAGTTTTTGATCAACCGCATCTTTTACGAGGAAACATCTTTTAGAAAATATTTGACCATGGCATGAACACAATACCAGCCAATTGGATTATAAATGAAAACGGTAAAGGTAAAAAAATGAGGTAAAAGTCGGAATCAGGGATGGATCAAAAACTTGTGCGCCGCCAGGACTCGAACCAGTGACGCTTCGCTTATCAGGCATCTGTGCTAACCATTACACCACAAATATTACTAATCCGCTGACTCCAGAGGGAGTTAAGTTCCCTCCTTTCTGGACCTGACGGTTGCACATGTCTCGATTTATAGGCCTGGGATGCGCTCGGAAACTAGGTATGAAGACCTACCGTAAATACTGTTAATAGTACCCCATCCCCCCCGTCCAGTCGTGCGTAGTCGCTAAAGTTTTTTAGTATTTCATTGTTTTTCAAAGCACCCGTACTTTCAAAAAATAGCGTCTTTGGTATCAAAAAATAGCCCTGAATTTCAGCTATTTTTTGATACCTAAGCGCGCATGGTAGCATAAATCAGTGTCGAGAAAAACCCGTTCAAAGCTAGACTACGCGATGCTCCGGTCATCATTATAAAAGGATGACGAGAAAAATGCTGAAAAATGCATGAAAAATGCATAAGAAAATGCTGCAAATAAAAATTAGATTCCAGCAACTCGTCCAGCAACTTTTTTTTGATGAAAACATTAGCTCAATTGCTAACAGATCCGAAACACTCGTTCAAAGCAACGCAACACTCCGCACCGTCATGATTTGGTCTGGTACTATTACAGTGTTTACGGTAAGTAAGTAAAAGAAAAAGATGACTTTAACTCCCACTTTCGAGTGACGGAGACTAAGGTCGTTTTGGTGTAATGGTTAGTACATTTGCCTGGTGGGTTGAAAGGTCGCGGGTTCGATTCCCGGCGGCGCACAAGTTTTGATCAGCCCTAGTTCGAACTGTAAAATTACCCGAAAAAGTCATTCGCCTCATCGTGTCGAACATTTTCTTTCCATTTGTGATGTCCCCAATTTTCCCAGTCGAGTTCAAAAGGCGGCGTCCTAAAAGGAAAATGTTCTTCAATAAAATCTCGCACTTTTTTTACCAGCTAATCCAAAGATTTTCAACGAATCGTGCCAAAGAAATGTATCCATAGATGTTTTTCTGAAAATATATCCTGTTTTTAAAGATTTTATGATGCTTGGCACCAAATCGATATCATCTTCCGGTCAAGCCGATCGCATTGAGTCGCTCGAGGAAAGGAGTGATCAAACGATCGTCGAATCCATTCACATCGTCCAGCTTTCAGAACAACAACGTTTCCTCATTTCAAAATTCCAAATGATAATGATGTCGTATTTTCTTCGAATAGAAGATCTGGTAAAGAGTAGGACGGCCTCCTCTGGTGTAGTAGCCTTCTTTAAAACTTCTTTTCAGCATGGGGGGATTGAATCAAGTGTTATAGAGTTAGAAAATGCACCAAAAATCTGTTAGCTCATGTGGTATTTTTGAGCCATTTTCCAGCCCTATAGCAATTTCATTGAAAGCTTTATGCAGAAAAGAAATTTTAAAAAAGGGCTGCTACGCAGGAGTACGCGATCATACTCTTTACCCGGTCTTCTATTCGAAGAAATACGGTATTCAATTTTGTAAAATTGTTTTTTTTTGATTAAGATATTGTAATAGCTGTGTATAAAGGATTCGTAAAAAAAAAAAAAAAAAAAAAAAAAATTCTGTCCTCTCTCTCTTCAGAAATCGTCGTTTCTTTAGGCAAAATGAAATCAAATAGAGAAAAATGGACATCAAATTTGAAATGTTTGAAATGCCTATTTTTACCCAAAGAATCCTTTTTCTTAAAAAGATCTTTTATTTTGAAAATCTGTTTTCAGCTTGCGATCGACTACTTGCGAAACTTATTTACTTTTTTTTTTGCCACCTCTAATGATAATTGATTTTAAAAGGTGAAAAAGCCGAAATAAAATCCATTTTTTCTTAAATATTATAAAAAGAGAAATTTCTCTTTAAAACTAGCTGTTTTACGATCAGATTGATTAAGAGTTCCCGTTAGTATAAAAGTTAAAGTTAAAGTTAAAGTTAAAGTTAAAGTTAAAGTTAAGGTTAAAATTAAAGATAAAGTTAAAGTTAAAGTTAAGTTAAAATTAAAGTTAAAGTTAAAGTTAGAGTTAAAGTTAAAATTAAAGTTAAAGTTAAAAGTGAAAAGCACCGTTAAACTTCAGCCAAAAATGAAAATTCAGCCAAAAACGGATTTTTAAAAACAAAAATCTTTCTATGAAGAAGCATTTCCGGGTAAAAATAGTAAAAATTTTCAAATTTGAAGTCCGTTTTTCTCTAATTTCATTCGTTTGAGTCGTACAAATGATTCTTGAAGAGGGGACGAAGCTCACGAAGCCCACGAGCTTTTCACTCACCCTGTAGCACAAATGAGTGCGGAGAATTGAGAGAAGTGCTTGAATGAGGCAAACTAGTCAACAATACTTTGAATACTTCTCTCAACTGCTCAACAATACTTTGAATACTCCTCTCAACTACTCAACAATACTTTGAATACTTCTCTCAACTACCCAACAATACTTTGATTACTCCTCTCAACTACTCAACAATACTTTGAAAATACATCATTCTTATGCTTAATCAAGTATTATAATAGAAAGCAATGAAAGCAAAATTGCTTGAATGAGTCAAAGGTGTCAGAGATATTCGAAATACTCACAATGATACAGTTTGCATAATTTTTCTTAATCGAATCAAGCATATCCGACGATGAGCCGACGAAGGGTGAGGCTCCGTTTACTCCTTCTAAACTTCGAAATGTTAAAATATATCGAATTTTACAGTAACCCTGAATCGATGGGAAAACAAAGACAAATTCGGATGTGGAGAGACCGGCGAGTTCGCTTGCTTTACGGAATTCGGCGGTGAGATCGCGAATCGATGAGAATAAAGCGACCACAACTGAAAAATCGGTTTTGTATGTAAATTTGAGCTAGCTAAATAGCTAGATACTGTAGCTAGATACTGTAGCTATCTATAGCTAGATACTGTAGCTATCTATAGCTAGATACTGTAGCTATCTATAGCTAGATACTGTAGCTATCTATAGCTAGATACTGTAGCTATCTATAGCTAGATACTGTAGCTATCCATAGCTAGATACTGTAGCTATCTATCAGATACTGTAGCTATCTATAGCTAGATACTGTAGCTAGATACTGTAGCTATCTATAGCTAGATACTGTAGCTATCTATAGCTAGATACTGTAGCTAGATACTGTAGCTATCTATAGCTAGATACTGTAGCTATCTATGGCTAGATACTGTAGCTAGATACTGTAGCTATCTATAGCTAGATACTGTAGCTATCTATAGCTAGATACTGTAGCTAGATACTGTAGCTATCTATAGCTAGATACTGTAGCTATCTATAGCTAGATACTGTAGCTATCTATAGCTAGATACTGTAGCTATCTATAGCTAGATACTGTAGCTATCTATAGCTAGATACTGTAGCTAGATACTGTAGCTATCTATAGCTAGATACTGTAGCTAGATACTGTAGCTATCTATAGCTAGATACTGTAGCTATCTATAGCTAGATACTGTAGCTATCTATAGCTAGATACTGTAGCTATCTATAGCTAGATACTGTAGCTAAAAAGAAGTTGGATGGGGGTTGAGAAATGAACGGCTATCAAACTAAAGTATCTTTACTTCGACTCGATGCTCTGATCTCCTCCATTTGTCCGCTGGCCACCATCTCTTGAGCACTCATTCCTTCATCGAAGATTATCTAGAAATTTAGATCTGAAGTTGAAAAGATCAAAAGTCTTTTTGTTTACCTTTTTCACGACATTCACCCCAACTCGACGGAAAATTTTCTCAAAAGCGATGATCTTCTCATAGGCGGCGGCACCGGCGTTTGAAACGAAAGACACCTAGGCGAAAATATAAAATATAAAACTGATCTATTGGATTGGTGCATTGAAAACTGCGGGCTATTTCGAGGGACTCGCAGATGAAGAAAACAACAGCATAGAACCAGCTGAAAGGGAAGTTTTTTTACTTTAACATTTCCTTTAATTATTGTGAAAAAATTATGCTTCCAACTTTTTATTTTTTTAGTATATTTCTTGACTTCTTCTATCGTACTCGACAATCTGCCACCGGGACATATTCGTCATGTCATGCTTCATAACTCCCTACAAAAGCACAGTGCAGGCTTGGCAGCTGCTAATATTAAAAAGATATATGCGGAGGACTCACCTTCCGAAAGAACGTGTCAAGTATGGTTTGCCAAGTTTCGTTCTGGGGACAAATTTTTGAAAGATGCAGAGGGCCGTGGAGCGGCACCCCAACTGGATCACTCCAAATTACTCGAACTTATTACCAACGACCATCGAGTGAATTGGGAGAAGAGTTAAGAGTTTATCATGCTACATTGCTAAGACACCTTCATACCCTTGGATTTAGACCGAAACTTGGGGCTTGGGTGCCCCATGACCTCACTGAACCCCAGAAGTGGCAGCGCGCCTCGATCAGTGCTGCCCAACTCTCACGATACGAAAGGAAATCTTTTCTTCCTCGAATTGTGACAGGAGATGAGAAATGGGTTTTATCTGTGAAATTTCGGAGGAAGCGGCAATGAGTGGGGCCAGGCGAGAAACCCGAAAGTGACCCCAAGCCCGATTTGCACCAGAAGAAGTTTATGCTCTGCGTTTTCTGGGATATGGAGGAAGTGGTGTACTGGGAGTTGCTGGATAGCAAGAAGACCCTTAATGCAATCAAATACAGTGAACAGTTGGAAAAGGTGAATGAATCCTTGAAGAAGAATAGGCCCTCCAAATCAAAGATCGTTCTCCTCCACGACCTCGTGTTGCAAAACTGACTCGCTCTAAAATAAACAGCCTTGGTTGGGAACTTTTGGCACATCCGCCATACAGTCCGGATCTCGCCCCTTCTAATTACTATTTATTCCGGATCATGAGTAATGAGCTTGCGGGAGAACACTTCGATTCGGAAGAAGCAGTCAAAAATTGGCTTTGAAAGTTTTTCGATTCAAAACCAAAATCCTATTAAGAAAGAGGAATCCGCAAATTGCCTTTAAAATGGGCAGAAGTCGTCAATAATAATGGGAATTATTATAAATAGCCTTGTTTGGGAACTTTTGCGCATTCCCCATACAGTCCGGACCTCGCCCCTTCTGATTACTATTTATTCCGGATCATGAGTAATGAGCTTGCGGGAGAACACTTCGATTCGGAAGAAGCAATTAAAGATTGGCTCGAAAAGTTTTTTGATTCAGAACCAAAATCCTACTACGAAAGAGGAATCCGCAAATTGCCTTTAAAATGGACAGAAGTCGTCAATAATAATGGAAATTATTTGTAAATGAATTTATGATTTTTATGTTGAATAAATTTTAATAGTTCAAAGTCTCAATGCACCAATCCAATAACTCTAAAAATGTTTTAATATTTCTATAAACCTTAGTCCATTTGTAGTGACGAATGAATGCTCCAGTGGCCTCTGCTTGAGAGTTGATTGTACGAATGGAGACTCTGAAATCAGAAAAAAGTGCAAATGAGAACTATTATTAAAATATGAAATTCTAGGAATTACCTAATCAGTCAGCGAATTACCTAGCTAAAGTTTTATAGATCGTTTTATCAGCAAGTGCATTCGACGTGGCCATGTAGGCGATGATCGGCTTGTTCCAATAGGCGGCCATCGTTGCGACGGGAATCATTTCTAGAAATGTTTGGCACAAGTTAATGTCATCTACGTACACTTAAAGTAAAGCCCTCAAAGTGGATTTAAATCTAGGACCAAGACTTGATCCTAGATCTCTAGGACCAAGATTTGATCCTAGATCTGATTCTGGACTCCTCTGCTACCGACACGAAAGCCAAAGCCCTCAAATTGGACTTAATTTTCTTGCCGAATCACCTTTACAATATTAGTTCCTGTTTTTCAGTGAAAGTTCCTTTATTTTAAATGAGCTTATATGAAATTATCAGATACGTTATCTGATAATTCTGAGATTAAAGTTTAGATTTAGGTTTAGATTTAAGTTTAGTTTTAAGTTTAGAAAATTTAAGTTTTTTAGGTTTAAGTTTAGATTAAAGTTTAGATTAAAGTTTAGATTTAAAATTCACCCGAGTTACAATAGGGTCCAAGGAACGCGGAGACTCGATCCACGTGGTACATGTCCGCTGCCGCAGCGACTCCCTCAAATGCATCACCGCAACCATTTTGGAGATAATTCTATAAAGTATGATAGTTAGATGTTAGACTTTTTAGATATACAGTAATCTATTATCGATTGTGAATCTATTAGGACAGTTTTGTGGTACTGTATAGCTTGCTTTTCTCAAGAAGTTTATGCTCTGCGTTTTCTGGGATATGGAGAAAGTGGTGTACTGGGAGTTGCTGGATAGCAAGAACACCCTTAATGCAATCAAATACAGTGAACAGTTGGAAAAGGTGATGTTAGACTTTTTAGATATACAGTAAACTATTATCGATTGTGAATCTATTAGGACAGTTTTGTGGTACTGTAAAGCTTGCTTTTCTCATTTCTTATTAAAGTCTGTTCCAGCAATACGTTTTCTAAAAGCTAGATAATTTGGAAAACTACCGTAATCTTTCCTTAGAATTGACGATCAGATTTTGTTCTTATTTTCAAATAGATTCACGTAAAAAGTGTAGAAATTGAACTATTGCATTGTTTTTATTTAACTATTGCATTTAACTAGTGCCCCTTTACTCAAAAAACTCGAACCAAATCCGGAACTAAACTTTTCATAAAGATATTCAGCTAAAGTCATGTTTCGTTATTCATTCATGTGAAAAGAGATACGGTAATCTGCTTCTGAGCAGATTACCGTATCTCTTTCTTGCGGATAAACCCAAATTTATTAAGCGACCATAAGCCGAGATTTGAGGGACGGTAATCTCGAGAGAGAGAGAGCTGCTTAAGTCCCAAGCCCCTTTCCCCCACCCATTCATCCATTGCACTCAATTCTATTAAAATTTTGGCAATCAGAATAATCAGCAGTTTCAGGAGAAATCTTAAACCAACTCGACATCGAAATCATCGCCAAAAGTCCCGTCGGCGAGAAGCTCTTTTCGAGAGAGTTGAAGCACTTTCTCGTAATTGGGCAAAGCGTTCACGGCGCCGATGTGACCGATGCGGATCTGATAAGACAAAGATAGATAAGATGAGACAAAGAAGATAAGATTAGACAAAGAAGAAAGATAAGATTATTCATTCCAAAAGCAGCTCAGGTTCCGCCAGGCAAAGCCAGATATAAATACCTGACTTCTGGACTGGCTTTGGAATGCAGACATGACCTAGAAACAGTTCTTGGGCCCACCAGAAGCAAAGATTTGGCCTAGCTTCTGGGCCGAAACAACTGAAACAACCCTGACATTGTGATTAACGGATTGTATCCAAAGAACTTTGGCTTCTGGCAATCAAGCCTAGTTGCTGTAGAATCTCTGACTCTAACTTTAAAAGAGCCAAAATTTTCATTAACTCGATCAATCTATCTCAGATCAAAGAAAATTGTTGATAAAAGAAATCAATTCAATTCGATTCTGATCGCACGATATCGCACGCAATTCTGATCGATACCAAGATACGATAGAATCACTTTTAATAGTGATTCTATCGTTCTCTTTGGCAGAGATTAGAGTCAGAGATTCTACAGCAATTAGCCCTAGGCTTGTTTGCCAGAAGCCAAAGTTCTCTCCTTGCCTGTTAATAGTAAAAAGACGATAAACCCTTATTTTTCAAGTGTTACTGTATTTTTAAAACCCAGAAATAAAAGATTGCGATCAGAAGAAGGCCCCTAAAAACCAGAATCGCTTAAAACCCTTGCACTGACCACATTCCGAGCCGCCGGTGCAATCGAATCGTTATCAGCGGACGATCCCGAGTACAATTTATTGTCCAATGCGTTCACCAATCCAATCCAGAACCACAAAATCATCCTTCTACCTCTAGTGTAATCAAATAGAAAGAAATCATAAACAAATCATTCAACAAACCTCAATTCTTATAAGGTTTCAGGTAAATTCGTGAATTCAGCAATTCAGCAAAATGAAAAATGAGAATTTTTCTCTAGATCTTTAAAGCTTTTTCGGAAAGGGATAAGGGGGTAAATCTTTGTTAAATCCGACAGAATTTCTTGGATTATCATGGGGATTTGCGGAGTGAGAGGCAAAAGTCACTTTTGTAAAGGCCAATTACCTGAGTGCTCGAGATATGAAAAGAGGCTAAAGAGGAGAATCTTTTTTTTGACTACAGTACCACCCCACATTCAATTTTATTGCATTTCTTTGTCTTGTTTATTAAGTGGAGAAAATCCTCCCGAAAACACTCGGCTATAATGCGAAAGTTGGTCCTCTTTGCAGGCACAGAGGGGATTTTTCCGATTAACTGGTAAAAGGCTCACAATGAAAATTGGGTTTTTGGCATTTCAATCGCGATTGTTTTTTTAATAAATGATATTTATAATACAGTAAGCAATCAAATTCCAGAATAACTCTTGATAACTTTAGTTGATTTGAATATACCGTATTTTCTCTAATAGTAGTGCACCCAGGCGAGCCGAGTTGATCACGATTTTACGGTTTCCAAGCTTTTGCAGAAGCTCAACAGTCTAATCACCAGCTAGATCTCATCGTCAGCTACATTTTCCGACCGCACATCGATAGGTTCTGATAAGTGGTTCTCGAGATTTCGAGGAATTTAGGCGACGCTCAGGGTGCACTACTATTAGAGAAAATACGGTATTTGAGAGAATACGGCGGCCGGTATTACGGTACTTGTCGTGGGATACCGTACTTGCGTCTAGACGTTGGGCACTGTACGTAAAACTTTCTTTAGTTTTGTACTGAGTCTTGTAGCATACCGGATTCTCTCTAATAGTAGTGTACCCCGGCGAGCCGAGTTGGTGACTATTTGACGGTTTCCAAGCTTTTGCAGAAGCTCAACACTCAAATCCTCCACTAGATCTCATCGTCAGCTACATTTTCCAACCGCACATCGATAGGTTCTGATAAGCGGTTCTCGAGATTTCGAGGAATTTAGACGACGCTCATGGTGCACTACTATTAGAGAAAATACGGTATCAATGATTAAAGCACTCTCGAGTATTGTAGCTAGAGTTTTTCAAGACGAAATCTAACCAACTCTTGACTCACCATATTTTGAATCATTTTTCAATTAAAATTTGATTTTGGTTTAATATTTTGAAACGATTTTGATCAGGATTGTTCTTAGATTAAAATTTCTGTTTTCGGCTAAGCAAACCACATCTAAGATCGGCTAAGATCTCCATATTTTCGATTTTAGTTGACACAAAATTGTTTTACCCTATCAACAAGAAGCAATTGTTTAAAAATTACTTTCAAAGGGATTTTGCGAGATTTTTATGCCTTTCATGACCTAGTGTAGCTTGGCTGAATGAGTTGAAGCATTACACGAATGAGTTCCTCAAAAAGCAATGGGCCGACAATTGTGATATGGTTGAAGAGTGAGGGAATTAGAAATTAGAATATCAGAACTAGACAAAACAACAATAGCTCAGTCTCTCAGAAAGCAGAATAAAGAGTATTTGTAGCGAATAAATCCTGACTAAGCATTCCCTTTGTCTCAATAGCTCTAATTTCGATGATAATGATATAAAATAAAAAAATGATTTGGATCTGTCCTCGCACTTAGCGCAGATCACAACCCGCTTCCACATTTACTGAGGCAGAAGTGTAGTTGTCGTAGCCGATGATACTCCGATGGCCGGGCTGGGGCGCTCGGAGGGGAACCCAGGAGTCGAACCCACGACTAACCCGCGCCGACGTTGCTCAACTTGGCAGATCGGACGGGGTCGACCACAGACCCTTCCCTTCCTGGGCCCCATGATAATGATATCGATTTCGCTTTTCTTCCCGAATGAATGCTTCTATAGAAACTCACTTATGGTTAGCTCCTTTTTGTTGTGCTGAACTAGCTGAGAAGTTGTGCGTTAACTCTTCGTCATCCGGTTCACTGAAGCACTTTTTGGCTCACTCAAACATTTTCATTTTTTCATTACGCTAAACTTGATCAAAACAAATATCACCTTTCTCTGGCGGTGGCTACTTTACGCAACTCGCCATAACTTTCTTTTAAGTGGCTCAATCTTTATGATTTTGGTTTCATTTTGTTGCACTTATTGAGATCTACAAAAGGAAACCAAAATCAAATTGAGATATAAGGTTTAAATGTGTGTAGAGATAAAATTTAGTATCTGAACCGCACATTAGATAAGTTGGTGAAGAGTTATGGCCAAAAGTACGTTGTACACCTGTAAACAATTGTCTCGAAAGCATAAAAAATGATAATATTAAGTTATACATCGAAATTAGAGGGTGGCTACTTTGCGCCAAATTTTTTACGCAACTCCCCATAACTTTCTTCTAAACGAGCCAATCTTTATGATTTTAATGTCATTTTGTAGATCTCAACAAGTGCAAGAAAATGACATTAAATTCATTAAAGATTGACCCATTAGAAGAAAGTTATGGCAAATTGCGCAAAAGACAAAGTTGAAAAATTTGACGGAAAGTAGCCATCCCGCCCTTCTCTTTCTTTTCTTTTCTTTTCTTTATAATTTCTTCCAATCCACCTTTGCATTAATTTCCCTCAAAGATTGGGTCAAATTTCAACTTCCCGAAATATCAGATGCTTTTCCCTAAAATCTCAAATTTCAAGATTTCTTTTTTCTGATGGCATAAAAAAATCCCTTGAGACGTCGGAAATGATTTATCTAGAACAATTCATTTTTTCGAATAGCCGACAATTTTGAGAACGGGTTTTCAAAGAGTATTCGGTTTAGTGAATCTTCTTTTTTTGTTCTTTTTTTACTCAAGAGTTTTCAAATGACGTTTTGAGGAATCAATTGAATTCAATTCTGATCGCACGATATCGCACGCAATTCTGATCGATACCAAGGTACGATAGAAGCACTTTTAATAGTTCTCTTCTTACCTGTTAATAGTAAAAAGACGATAATCCCTTATTTTTCAAGTGTTACTGTATTTTTAAAACTGCTCACAAAAGCAGCTCAGGTTCCGCCAGGCAAAGCCAGAAAAATACCTGACTTCTGGAATTTTAGATTTTATACAATTAGGCTTTAAATCGAATTCTTCTAGCCCTCAAAATGCTCTTAGAAGCTATTGAATCGTTCTTTAGACGTCTTAAAGTTCTCAATTTTCTTCCCAAAAATATCCTCTATTCTTTATCTTAATAAATTCTTCATTTCCTTCTTTCTTTCTTTTCTTCGATTGCCCGTGAGAATCTCAAAAATCCTGAAATTTTTTTTGAATTTAACTTGGAGTAAGAAAGATGACTCAAAACTTTTAATTCTTAACTAATTTTCCATTTTCTTTTGCGGTAAATACAGGGGTGGGACAAATGCGACCTTTTTTTGCGCACCTTGACATTTGCGCACATTTTTTTGCTGGAAAAGGCCTTAGGAAAGGTCGTAGAACTTCAAAAATGTTTTCATATAAGGGAATCGTATGCGTAGATTCCGAATTTCGACAAATCAGACCTCGCTGGCACGTCAAATTTGGGCTAAAAGGCAAAAACTACGCAACTTAACGCTTTTCGCAGTTTTTGCCTTTTAGCCCAAATTTGACGTGTCAGCGAGGTCTGATTTGTCGAAATTCTGAATTTACGCATACGATTCCCTTATATGGAAAGGTTTTGAAGCTCGACCTTCTAAGGCCTTTTCCAGCAAAAAAAAGGTGCGCAAATGTCCAGGTGCGCAAAAAAAAGGTCGCATTTGTCCCACCCCCCAAAATGATGAAAATTTTCAAAGAAACCATTTAAAATTTGATATTGATTGAATGTTTTAAAAAGCTTTGTTTATTAGCTGAATATCTTTCTTTATTAGCTGATAAAGTTGAATATCTTTCTTTATCAGCTGAATATCTTTCTTTACCAGCTGAACATCTTTATCAGCTGAATTTGTCCCACCCCCATAAATACGGGAGGTAGTCAAATGAGCGCCAACAATTGGGCGCCAATCATTTCAGCGCCAACGATTTGGCTCACGCTTATTTCAGCGCCACTCATTTGAGCGCCGTGCCAAAAATGACTGGAAAACAATCATTTGAGCGCCAAATTAAAAAAGGCCCTAAAAACGTTCATTTAAGCGCCGGGCCAAAATGACTGGAAAACGTTCATTTCAGCGCGACTAAATTTTAATATTTTTGCTTTCTACGCTGCTTTTGCATGTTTTTTAGGGTTTTGCTTCTGTTTTTACACTTTTTTTTCACTCATTTGACCTAGGGCACAGTAGTAGGCATCAAATGCGCGGAAAAAATTGTTAGATTAGCTCGTATTTAAGGTTTTTTTGGTGAAAATGTGTAAATTTGCTAGTTGTATGATATTTTCCCCCAATAGCGTGCTTTTTCACCGTTTCTTGCCGTTTTCGTTTACAATTTGCTTACAGTTAACATAGTTCTTTGCTTAGGCTCGTGAACTGCGCAAGAAGTGGCGAGACAAAGGAGCACTCTGAGTCAAAGTAACGTTTTGTTCATGATTTATTTTGGTTTATTTTGCTGCCAAGAATTATTTTTATCTTTAGATGATTTAGATAAAAACATACAGTAAAAACTTTGAGATCATGCAGAAAATGCAAAAATAACATGCATATACAGAATGGGCTGATTCGGCGCTGAAATGAATGTTTTCCAGTCATTTTTGGTGCGGCGCTGAAATGAACGCGCGCTAAAATGATTGGCGCTGAAATGATTGGCGCTCAATTTTTGGCGCTCATTTGACTACCTCCCATAAATACTGCAATAGTATCTAACTCGATAGGAGCGTCGCGTAGTCTAAATTATGATGAGAAATTGTTGTTTGTTTGTTGTTGTTTTTTTTGCCATTTTTCAATTATCTATTTTCTAAGCTCTGCTTAATGCTAAAAATATATATTAGATCTCAAAAAATCACCCATTTTCTCTACTTGAATTTGATATCTAAGAACGCAGAAATAAACGTACTAGTGTCAAGATATGAGCGTTTGTTTTTGAGAGGAAACTTAGACTACGCAACGCTTCTTTTGGGGGTTTCTATTAGAGTATTTTAAGGTATTTTCTTTCAGTTTTCTTTTCACAACTACTAATTTCAACAAAAAATTCTTTTAGAAAACGATGGGTCAACGATTATATCTCATTTTTGCATTGATACTCATTGCTTTCATAAGCACAATCAGCACAAGTAAGTTGATTTTGAAAGTTTGAGCTTTTTCAGTGATTCTCTCCTTAGAACGGTGACGGATCAGTCAAGCCAAGTCAAGCCTTTTTCAGTCATTCTTTCCTTAAAACGGTGACCGATCAGTCAAGCCAAGTCAAGCCTTTTCAGTCATTCTTTTCTTAAAACGGTGACTGATCGGTCAAGCCAAAGTGCGAGTCGATTGTATTCATGATTTACATAATATTAGGTAACTTGCCCCACTTTCCTTTACGATTTGAATCTTTTCGTTGAGATCAGTCAGTTAACGATAATGGTTTTCTTTTTATGTTGAATTAAATTGAAATTGAATTGAAATTGAATTGAAATTGAATTGAAAGTGATTGAAAAGAGCTAAGTTTTTCATATTCTTTTAGGGATAGTCCCAGCCGTTTCCCGTTTCAATTTCGAGAGAGCGAGAACGGTGCGACCATCGACGAGTCGTTTCGTTCTTGAAAGTTCGTCTAAAAATTGAGTAAAAGATATTGAAAGAAAGAAAATGATTCAAACAAAAAAATTCTTAAAACAAAACCCTTAATCTATTGTTTTGATTTCAAAATTCGAAAACCCCGTTTTCAGATTCGTATAACAGCTATCATAATGGCTATCGTCCCCAATTCGGTCGTTATCAAATCGCTCCCGACGGCTCGACGATCATCAGCGATAAATGGTGGTAGAAATTCAACTATTCAAATGAAATTGAAATATCAAATGAAATTCAAATAATCTTTTTGCTATTTGAAAATAAATTTGTTATTTTTTTGTTATTTTTCATTTGTCAAAGACTGTAAACACATTTGGGAAAATGGGAAAGTCGCAGAGAAGTTGCAGAGAAGTCTTTTGAAATTTAACATAAAGCTGATTTTAAGCTCACTTACCGCAGTTGTTGTCGTAGCATTGTAAGACGAGTAGCATTGTAGCGAGTAGCGAGTAGCACAACGAGTAGCATTGTAAGACGAAGAGCTCATATTGCAAGAACGCTAAAGAAAAGTTCTTTGTTTTCAATTTAATGAATAATACATCAACGATGCATTGCCCAGATCACCCGTGTTTCTTATTAGTTGTTGTTGTTGTTGTTGTTGTGGTTGTTGTTGTTGTGGTTATTGTTGTGGTTGTTCTTGTTGTGGTTATTTGTTGTGGTTGTTGTTGTTGTTGTTGTTGTGGTTGTTGTTGTGGTTGTTGTTGTGGTTGTTGTTGTTGTGGTTGTTGTTGTGGTTGTTGTTGTGGTTGTTGTTGCCAGTTGTTGTTGTTTGTCAGTTGTTGCCATTTGCAGAGAAGTCTTTTGAAATTTAACATAAAGCTGATTTTAAGCTCACTTACCGTAGTTGTTGTCGTAGTTGTGTGTCGTTTTGATCTCTGGGGATTGGTATGCTAAAATGGTTTGCAGTAAACTACCGTATATAAACGGTAAGCTATTAAACGATTGTGGAAATTTGATGTTAGATTGTCAATGGGAATGGAGCGTTATCAAATCGCTCCCGACGGCTCGACGATCATCAGCGATAAATAGTGGTAGAAGCTGAAATATCAAGTAAAATTCAAATACCGTATTTCTTCGAATGAAGACCGGATAAAGAGTATCATCGCGTACTCTGCGTAGCAACCTTTTAAAATTTCTTTTCACCACATAAGCTTTCAATCCAAGTGCTATAGAGTTGACTACGGCTCAAAAAATCTTGGTGGCTCCCATGGTATTTTTAGGCCATTTTCCAGCTCTACTAACACTTGACGAACTTTTTCTGAAAAGCACCACCCAAAGGGCTGCCTGAGAAATTACCCGATATCCTCTTATCCAGTCCCCTATTCCCAGCTCTGACCAATCTTTTTGCTATTTATCAATTCCTTGTGTTATTTATTTGTTATTTTTCATTTGTCAAAGACTGTAAGCACATTTGGGGAAATGGGGAAATTTTTTTGGATCGCCTAGAGGCCCACCAAGAGACTAACCCCGGAAAAATGGTTGTAACACTCGAAATTTTGATTTGCAATTTCATTCACTCAAAGTTTCTCGAATGAGAAAAATATTCGGGGCTTTGCTGTTTCTTTTTTCAATATTTGGACAGACCAAAACACAGACAGCGATATGGAATCGTAAGTTTTAGAAAAGTTGGATATGGATACAATATGGATAAAGTTTAAAGTCTTACAGTCAATATCATATGAATAACTTGACGCTGGCGAGTGAGGCTGAGTTTTTCGACAGCAAAAGTGCGCTAGCTTTCTCTCCGAAACGATTTGAGTTCTTGCCGTCTACGATAGTTGAATAAGGTCATCGGATATTTGATGCACGTGCCCATTCCATTGAGAATCTAACTTTGAGCTCAAATATCTCAGTGTTGGGCTATTAAGTTACAAATATTCTGTAACTGTAAAAAGACTGGTTTTTCAAATCAGAAGCGATTGCATTCTGATCTGCCTACCAAGCAGAGAAGCGCCAATCTTGTAATTATCCGGACGCGGCCTCGCCACGCTCCTTTGCCATTGGCTAACTTTGAACCCAAATATCTTGGCGTTGGCTGTTCAATTTGCAAATTATTGCGTATCATTGGATGCGCCGAGTCTTTCTCTGTAGATTCGTGAAAAACTATTTTTCCACGGACAGCCCAACACTAGTAAATTTGAGCTCAAGAGTTACTTTTAATGGGAAGGCAAGGTGCGTCTCAAATTTTCCACAATCGTTTAATAGCTATCGTTTATAAATGTATACGGTAGTTTACTGCAAACCATTTAGCATACCAATCCCCAGAGATCAAAACGACTACGACGCTACGACGCAACTACGGTAAGTGAGCTTAAAAAGTCAGCTTTATATGTTAAATTTCAAAGACTTCTCTGCATGGCAACAACTGACAAACAACAACAACTGGCACAACAACAACAACAACAACAACAACAACAACAACAACAACACCCCACAACCACAAGAAACATTTGCAGATCTCTGCAATGTATCGTTGATGTATTATTCTTTAAATTGATCAAAAAGAACTTCTTTAGCGTTCTTGCAATACAGGCTCTTCGTCTTACAATGCTACTCGTTGTGCAGTAAAGTTTATGGGATTTTTTCGTTACAGCACCGAATGAAAACGTTCAAAACAGTGCCGTCAAATCTCTCGAAATCCGAAAAACTAAATCGGTTCAATTTTTATATCAAAAAAATCCTTGTGTTCTTGGCTTCATGATGGGTGAAATAGTTTTTCAAAAAAAAAGTTAATATTTCATAGATAAAATTAGTGTTCGTGTGTGTCAAATGATACTCAGTTGGTTAACTGAATATCTTTCAGGAATATTTAATACATTGAGCAATCTATTAAATCTACCGTATTTCTTCGAATGAAGACCGAAGGTAAAGTATGATCGCGTACTCCTGCGTAGCAGCCCTTTTAAAATTTCTTTTCTGCATAAAAGCTTTCAATTAAGTGCTATAGAGTTGGAAATGAAACAAAATACCACATGAGCTAACAGATTTGATCTGAAATTTGATTTGAAAATCTGTTAGCTCATGTGGTTTTTTGAGTCCCCGTACAACCTTTTGGCACTTCGTGCCGCTCCCCCCTGAAAAAAAATTTTTCTCTTTTGCTACCTTCTTGTACTGCGATCCCCCCCCCCCCCAGTCTTCTATTCTAAGAAAGCTACGATATTGAATCTATTAAATATTAACTTTTTTTTTAAAAAACTGTTTCACCCATCATGTAGCCCAGAGTAAAGAAATTTTTGATATAAAAATTGAACCGGTTTATTATTTTAGTTGTGAGAAATTTGACGGCGCTTTTTTTTTAAGGTTTTCCTATTATCGTGCTGTTTTAACTACATTCTAGTTGATTTCTTTTTCCAACAAAATTTTAGTTTTGGCAAGTACCATGAATGAAACCATCACGACAACAACGATTGATTCTTTCGATTGGAATGTGGGTTGTTAAGAAAAATTGATTATGATTCTAAAAACTTTACATTCTCATGAGTTATTTTGATTAAGAGTTAGCTATCAGTAATTCTAAATATACAGTTCAGACGACAACAACCGCTACAACTCCATCAGCACTCGAAACAAAAGCGACAACGATCACAGCACTCCCGATAAGCGTTAGTAAACGCTACAAACTTATTTTAGCCTAGCTATTCTTTTTAGGATTTTAAAAATCCTTTAAAAGCGCCAAGAAACTTGATTTATTTTTACAGCAACTATTGGGTTAAGTATGATGAAAATTTGTTGTTATAAGTAAACTTCATCCCGACCTGATTAACTGTTTATGTTACGCTGATCAAAGAAAGCACACTTTATTTGAAACTTTTCCAACGCTTTTACAGGCCACAAAAAGCACGGTTACAAAGCCAACAAAGTACTTCACCTTCAAAATCACAAAACCCGAGATGGGAGGAAATCACAACGAGAGGAAATCACAACGAACCACAACGAGATGGGAGGGAAATGCGACTGTGCTTCTCAAATCGAAACACTTTTGCAAACCAAATTTCAGCGCCGCACCACCACCGAAAAACAACGGCATCAACAATGAAAAGAATAACCCCATCACATTTCCAATATCCGTGCATTCGTTCGGCATTCTTTCATCTGCCAGCTGACAATCACCCAACCGACAGATCAGCCCCAAATATTATACTTGGATGCTCACTGTATAATCGTTTAGCTTATAGCTTAGCTTTCGCTTTCAAACACAAAAATATCCGCTATAAATCCCACAAAAGTCACTTACAAGAAGACGACAAAACCGACTAAAACCCTTAGCGAAACGCGTTTACAATCATTTCAAGCCTTGTAAACATTCGGACATTTCATATTCCTCAAATTCAATAAAATAGGTGGCTTTTAGATAACGGATTAGCCGAAAGAAACGGAATATATCCTCAGAGAAAAAGTTTAAAACAGCCTATGATGTAAAAACATTTTAAAAATTGTTTTAAATTGAAAGTTTAAAGCAAAACCTTTAGTCAACTGGACAGCTCTACTGTAACCACGACTACCACCGATATCCATTTTGGCCGTTATGTTTTGCTGAACAGAAATTGTCCCAATTCCGTGTGTTTTCTAGTTGCTTGATATAAAAATGATCTAAAATTGGAAATAAGAAACAAAAGATGTTATTCTTTGAGATTTTAGATCGACAATACAACAACAACAGCAACAGCAACAGCAACAACAACAACAACAGACAACAACAGCAACAGCAACAGCAACAACAACAACTTCCACCATCACTACGATGAGCGGTGATGGTGGTAAATTTGATTTTCATTCAAAACTCAAAAGCATCTTGAAATCCTATAAAACTTGGGGACTCTAATTATTATTCTGATTTATTGATTCTAATGATTAAAGTGACTAAATCAAAGTTCATTGGTTGACAACGATACAAACAACGTTCACTTTTTCAAAGCTCAATGTCACCACGACTACAACAAAGGTTCTTGCTGAAATTTGTTAAAAAAACTAAGCCTTTACTTTTCTATCTGTACTGGCTTACTATTATGCATGTAGTTGTACATTTGTAAACTTGAAATTAGACAAGTCCCGGTTTAAATGGAAAAACGACAACGACAACAACGACGACAACGACAACAACATCCACTAGAAACTCTTCAACAACGAACCTGAGCGATTTACCAACTGAAATGCCCACTTCAACCAATCAACCAAACTCTTCAGACATGTTTTTGGATGGGCAAAGGTTTGGACTTTGACTTTGACTAGAAATATTAGGTTGAACCGAATGGAATAGCCGTTTTCTAAATAACAACTTTATTGATATACTACAAAAAACAATAATTATTCGAAAAGATTGGGGGTGGGACAAATGCGACCTTTTTTTTGCGCACCTGGCATTTGCGCACCTTTTTCGCTGGAAAGGCCTCAGGGAGGTCGTAGAGCTTCCAAAATGTTTTCCTAGAAGGGACTCGAATACGTAGATTCCGAATTTCGATAAATCGAGACCTCGCTGACACGTCAAATTTGGGCTAAAGGGCAAAAAGCCCAAATTTGACTTATCAGCGAGGTTTGATTTGTCGAAATTCGGAATCTACGCACACGATTCCCTATCGGGGAAATATTTTCGAAGCTCTACGGCCTTTTCCAGCAAAAAAAAAAAGTGCCGCTCGCGTCCCCATTCCCCCAAAAGATTCGAAAAGATTCGAAAAGATGTTCACCATTATTTTCGATGGTCTTTCCTACTTGAAATCTTACAATCATGACAATTACAGTCCTTTAAAGCTCACTATCAGGCTAACAAATGATACTTTACTTTACTTTTTACATATTAGGTCCTCATCGACATCCCCTTCATCATCAGATGATATTTCTCTTCCAACAAATCAACCCGAGTCGAGTACCAATGATGAATGCAGTAAATTGAGATATATCGAAAATGACCTGTAATTTCAGCCGATGAGCCCGAACCCACACCAGAAGCGGCTTTGGATTCAAGCACAAATGCCCGGAAGTTCAATCTCCATTGACAGGTTAATGTTGAGCAAAGAAATAGCTACGTTAATTTTTAAAAGCAGCTTTTACGATACTAAAACGATTTTATAACATCTCGGTAACTTTAGAGTTCTCGAGCTCGCCTCAATCATCGCCTAACAATTCGAGTGATTCAAGTCCGTCAGGTAAATGCCATTGTTAAGTGGGATTGTTTTTGAACAGCTTACAATTTGTTAGTCTTTACGGATTTAAAGCTTTTCTCTTTTAGTTTTTCTTTTAGCTTTCCTTTAAGCTTTTCCCTTTACAGCATAACAACTTGTAGCTCAAATAATTCCTCCAAATAATACTTTAGATTTCTCGAGCTCACCCGATCCAAGTGTTGACAATTCGAGTGATCCAACTGATCCGACTTTATCAAGTAAAAGATAACGTATCATTATCGATTCTTATCTAGACTGTTTTTATCCATTAGACCCAGCTTTACTTGAACATTTAATAAAATAAGTTTAAAATATCGGCATCTGAAATTTGATAACTGTTCAAGTAAAGCGAGGTTTGCCTCACCTCAACCTCACCTCAACCTCACCTCAGACCTCACCACAACCTCACCTCAACATCACCTCAACTCACCTCAATCCTCACACCTCAGCGCCCCTCAACCACTTCTTCAACATTTTCAAGTAAAAAAATCTTAACAAAGAGAAATGTTCAATAAAATGATTACCTTAAGCTACTTTTTCTAAACTTATGATTAAAATTGGAATTATTCAGGTGATTCCACTTCTACTACATTTCAACATCAACCGATCTGATTGCTGCGAATGAAATGACATCAACGATCATGAATCAGCCAATAGGGAGATGTATAAGAATCAAATCTGACAAGCACAAGTAATCAAGAATGCATTTTTTTTAGATATTTGGTTTATTTCCAAAAAAAAAAAAATAATCCCAGGTGATTCTACGCCTCCTGAGAGCGATAGCACTTCACCACCTCTAAACGAATCTATTGAAACACCGGTGACAGGTAGCTTTTGAAAATTGAGCTTAAAGCAGCTTGATATAAGATTTTTATTAAAAAAATTGATCTAATATTTGAATTAAAACTGTTTAGAATCAGCAGGACTAACCGAAGAGTCAGGACTCGACGACGAGCTCGAGTCAAACATCCTTGACACTGACTTTGAGTGACTCCACTTCAACTGCTACTGGTACCATAATAAAAGAAGTAGAAACACTATAAGTACAATTTTTTAGAAACTGATCCTAGTGGAGAGAACACGGAGTCGACAGTGGAAACGCGAACAACGAGAACTGCTGATATCACCGGAAGTGTCATGGACGATTCTACAACTTGTAAGTGAAAAACCTTTAAGCACTTTTAAGCATTTCAATAATTGACTGAAATTTTTGATTGTTACAGTGTCAAATCTATATTGTAAGAAAGAAGGAATTGACAAGAAAGAGTAGATTTCTGGAGAGAGGATCGAACCCTCGACCTTTCACTTTCTGGACAATTACTGTAACCAATGAGCTATCCGGTACCTTGACTTGTAAAGGATTGTCGTGACGATCTCGTGATCGAGATCACCACGTAGTGGAGTGTGGAGTGTCTCTAAAGGATTGTCGTGACGATCTCGTGATCGAGATCGCCACGTAAAGGAGTGTGGAGTGTCTCTAAAGGATTGTCGTGACGATCTCGTGATCGAGATCGCCACGTAGTGGAGTGTCTCTACTCTCCCAATCTCAAACCACTGAACCAACTATTATCGCTGTAATAAAGATTATATCTAAACCAACAATAATCACTACAAGAATTTATCCAGTAACCCTTTCAACCACAACTACGGGATCTACTGTGAGAGTGAATACGAATCAAACCATCACAACAACAAGAATTACAAATGTTCAAAATTCTACATTGCTTTACGATCCTGGATCAAGTAAGACTGGAAATAAAACAAGAGAATTGATTGTTTTAGACACGACAACAACTACAACTACCGGTGCTGGTTTGGTTTTCAGTTGAACGCTTTATTGTTGCTTTTTAGATGTTGTGCATTCCCTGACTATACTACTTCAACCACTTCACCCATTTCCCACTCATCCGACTCGACAACTACAACTCATTGGTCTATTACTTAATCAAAGTTTGTGAGATTGTTGTGCACATTTCCAGATGGATTGGAATAATACGCAGAAATCAATCATAATCGGTGTAGATGAGACTTCCTGAGTGAACGAGGAAAACACAACAAAAGCACCGAGTAGGTCAACGATAAAAACAACTACTGTATCAAATGAACAAAACACGACAATAATGAGAAACACTGGAGGTGGTGGGAGGGAACTGACAATGGAAGTGGAGATGGGATGGAAATGGAGGTGGATCAGCTGTTATAGGCGCACAAATAAAGTTATAGCTTATGTTCATACATACTCTTGGTACTGACTTATATCGGAATGTAATAAGATGTAAGTAAGATTGTAAGAACTAAAGTCCTTTTTGGCAAAATTCAACTTTACGGTCTGATCAAAATCAACTTTCCAAAAAAACCTGGTTTCTATGTTTTCCCTCATGCCGGAATGCACAAAAAAAGCATAAGTTTTAGTTTTAGCCCATTTCGTATTCCCCCATACAGTCCGGACCTCGCCCCTTTCGATTACATATTCATTCCGGACCATGAGCTTGCGGGAGAACACTTCTATTCAGAAGAAGCAGTCAAAAAATGGCTTTGAAAGTTTTTCGATTCAAAACCAAAATCCTACTACGAAAGAGAGAGTCCTCAAATTGCCTTTAAAATGGGCAGAAGTCGTCAATAATAATGTGGAATTATTTGGAATGAATTTATGGTTTTATGTTGAATAAATTCTAGTTCAAAGTCCGGCAGTTTTCAATTCACCGACCCAATAGTAAAGACTCCTCGACAAGGAAATTTTCTTTCTTTCAACCTTGTCCCTTAGTCAATAACTTTCAATTGTTAGGGTTCAAATTCAAAGGCAATTTAGCTCTATTCAAAAATACCGTTGTTATTAAAGTTAGTGCTGTAGTTTAGATAACACAACTGAAACAAGCAGCGGTGGCACTTCACCAGACTACAGCCAAACCCACTTCAAGCACCACCACCACCACCACAACAACAAAAAAACCCATCGCAAATCAACAATGAAACTATCGAGAAACTCAAACTATGACTATATGGATACAACGGACGAATATGGGAATGTGATTATTGTAAAAGTGCCCAAAACAAAGACATCCACAACGAAACAACGGCTAAGCCTGGTTGAGTCTGTCAAAAAGCACTAATTGAGCTTTTTTTTAGCAAATTTCACCGAAACAACGAGTGCGTATGAAGGTTGGTAATTAAACTAATTGATCTACAAATCTACAAATCGATTCAGACGCAAAGAACAACTTATTCAGACTATGAGTATGGAAATGTTGATGGAAATGGCACAAATGGGACTATATCAACAACAAAAACTACCACCGCAATTCCGAGTTTGTTTCGGCTTTTGGCTTGGCTTTAGTGACTTTAGCTTTTGGCTTTAGTGACTTTAGCTTTTGACTTTAGTGACTTTAGTGACTTTAGCTGACGATTCAGCTTCACCAAAATGCAACACCGCTGTGATCAACACTCAACATGCTTTAACGATAAAATTCGAAGAAGTTGAAAATGGTTTTGGGAGAGCTGTAGCTGGGGAAAGCATATGTTCAGGTACAACTCAATCATTGAATTCAATGAAACAGGGCTAGCACTTTCCTGAATGGATCTACTTCAAGAACGTTCACTTGTGATTCCACAGGCAATTGGGCGAAATTATGATCCTTCACAGTTGTGCCAAGATAGTAAAAATATTTATTTTAATAAAGTGTTCTTTAAAAGATGCTGGGAAAGCTATCGTATTCCGATTTTTTTTAAAAATAAAACACTCCTAATAATCAGTGGTCTTCGCCCGATTGTAATTGTAATCTTAACTTCAGGATTACGGTAGCTTTTCTAAGAGCAACTTTTAGAAAACATTCACTGGTACCAGTTGCAAGTATTCAGCTCAAAAAAAATTTAGGCATTGTTATTAACTCAACACTGCGATGCATTGATCCGTCCCCAATCCTTAACACTCTCAACTCCTGCTCCGAATGGAAAGCTAAACGGTTGGTTGGACTTGAAACAGAAAAGTTGATCACAAGGCTTTTAAGCTTTAAGGTTTCAATGGGAGGAATTCAACTCCTTAAAGTTTAATTACTGAATTCTTGCATTTCATCCTGACTGAAGACGGATGTTCCTTCAGCTCGAGCAAACCCCAACATCTCCTCTTCGCATCGATCGGGCAACCCGTTCAGGTTTGCAAGAAAATATTTGTAAGAATTACTTTGTTTTTGTTTAAACATATTCCATTTATATTCTAAAGTCCCATTTCCATATCTCTCTAAATTTTGTTCCTTATCTCTTTAAATTTTGTTCCTTATCTCTCTAAATTTGGCTCCCTATCTCTCTAAATTTGGTTCCCTATCGACTAAATTTGGTTCCCTATCTCTTTCAATTTTGTTCCTTATCTCTCTAAATACCAGCAACGAGGTGGAGCACAAGAGTGGCAGAGACGGTCAGAGAAAGGATGGGCTAGAGTGCAACCACCACCAGCACAAGCAGAGTCGAAGACTTCGAACCAGGAACAATCAAGATAGGGAAACACTGGATGACACTAGCAAGGGATAGAGAAATGTGGAAGCAGGTTGTGATCTGCGCAAATAGGAACACCTGAATGCGATGACAGATCAAAAAAAAATCTCTTTAAATTTGGTTCCTTATCTCTCTAAATTTGCTTGGGTTCCCTATCACTCTAAATTTATTTTTCCTAAATTTCCGAGGTTTATCCTTTGTCCTTTAAAACGTTAACCAAGACTGCTAACCACTCAGCCAAAATTCGAGCACATTCTTGTCGTTTCTAGATTCAAATTGGGGATTAGGCTTTTAATTTTACGCTTTTGGGCTACTGTAAAGGAGCCAGTTATTTAAATTTCACAATCACAGATCTATGAATGTCTCCCCTCTGGCCAATGGACTGAAAATCTCCAAAATGAGCCCTGCACCTGTGAGTTTTAGATAAACTCTTACACTACATCAGATGAACTCTTCATTTAGACGTCTCTCGCTCATCTGAACTGTGAATGGAATAAAATTCATTGAAATTGTTTACACATTGAGATCACAACGAAATCACATAAAGCAGTAGGAATTGCAAAAATGAAATACAGTCGACTCTCGATTTAACGATTCTGAAACGTACCCCAAATTTCTTGCGTAGTTGCCCAACGATTGCGCTTGGCTGGACAGCTACGCAGAAATCCCAGGGCCTGTTTTAGAATTTCAAAATCGTTGTATCGAGAGGCGACTGTATCTTAGTTTGTTATAAACTATGTTTTTTATTAATCCAGTTTCTTGGTGACCATGGTTTCAGGCATTTATCCAGCAAAGCCTAACCGCGATCACCGTAGCCGCCGAGATACCACCGAAAATGAAAGCCATTCCCGACTCGAAAATTTTAATTTTTATAATAAATAGTACGATAAATGGATATAAAATTTTGATCTTTATTGAATTTAAATTTTGAAAACATTCTCCTGAGACTAACCTGCGCCATGAAACCGAAATAGATGAGCGCCAGCAAGCGCGCGCAATCGAACAGCACACAAGAATGGTCTAAAATTGGAATTAGTTTCAGGCTTTTGAAAATAACCTTAATTATGATCAATCTATAAATATGATAAGCCATTAATATTTATCTAATTACTCACCTGTGATCAAAATAGTAACCGAATGGCAGAATCGATGCAAGAAGATAGGAGAATAGGCAAAGAATGAAGGCCAATTGAGCGAAACTCGGACTTCATTGAAATAGATAGCTGAATATTATTTAATATGCAAAGAAAAATACGCAATTAATCCTATTAAAAAGCTACTCAACTCACCCAAGACTACGGTAACGGTGAATTGAACGGTTAGATTGAGCTTGGAGTGGGGTGGAGAGGGGCTGATTGGCAAGAACTGGTACTTCGTTGATCTGGAATTTGATTTTAAATTAATTTCAAGTGCTTTATGACCAGCTAAAGTTTATTTTTGAATTTTTTCAAATACTTTTATTCATTTCTCACCTCCGGAATCCCCTCTGTATTATCCTCCACCCATTTCCAGAAATGTTAAGAACCACCTCGTGCGAACACCCGGGAAATATCTCTGGCGGCATGAAGACACATTTTAGCTAAATTTATAGATATTTTGATTTATTAATACTTATGAATTTTATTTCGCTTTCTTTTATAAACTTACAAGTACTGGATAATGAAATATCATATTTGAAAAACGATCGTCACTTTCTGCGCGTCTGTAACTCCCCTTGTCTTTGAGTTTAAACTATTAGTGCTATACATTTTCTGAAAGCTCTTTTCAAGGGCTGCACAATGGTAATATTAATATTTAGAAATACGGTAAAGACAAGGGAGACAGACGTATGAAAGTGGCGATCTTTGTCTCCAAATATAATACTTCGTTGTCCAGTAGTGTAGTTTGAAAAACTAATTAGCTCATATGGACACTTTTTGATATGATTTTACTATGTTATGGCTAGAATTACTACTAATATTACAATAGATAATGATAAACTCACTCAATAGTACTGGACAATGAAATATCATATAGTTAAGGCGATCGTACTTTCGAGCGTCAGTAACTCCCTTGTTCTTTGAGTTTAAACTAACTGTGTGATACCCCATTTCTGAAAGCTCTTTTCAAGGGCTACACAATAGTAATATTAATATTTAGAAATACGGTAAGAGACAAGGGAGTTACAGACGTGCTGAAAGTGACGATCTTTTTCAAATATCATATTTCATTGTCCAGTAGTCTATTCTCTATTTAAAACTTACCTTCTTCCCAGAAACCGGGGAAAATCTCTTTTCCCTTCTCGTCTTTCGTCTGTCCTTTGTCATAGCTAAGAGCTTTGGATACGAAAGTCTAAATAGAGTTTACTAGCTTTATCATAGGAAAATATTTACTTACCTGACACCAAGTTGGTCAAAAGTCTCAACATTTGTCACCAAACCATCCGCGATTTTCTCACGTCCGATCTCTCTGCCTCATAAGTACCGAAAAGACGATCCCAAATGATCAACGTTCCACCATAGTTTCCAAATAGAAATAAAAAATACTTTAAAGTTTAAATATTCAATGATTCTTGCATAGATTTACAAATTTGTAAACTTAAAAATATAAAAAATGAGAAAAGATCACCTATCTATACAGTACGGGGTTTCGACCATGATGAACTCGGTGACTGGATGGAGTGTTGAAGAACCATTCAAACGGACCCAAATAAGGAACTAGCTAAAAGGACAATTAGTTTAACATTTACACAAAATAACATTTAACAAAAACAAAAACATCTTTCTGAACAAAAACAAAAAAGAACAAACCTCCGTAAATTGCAACGAAAACTGATAGGCGAAATTCATGTAACGATGGACGATGAAATGTTTGGTGGAATGAAGAAAGATTGGAGGAGATCAGCCGATATTGCCGAAATCCTAAGAATGAATGAGATTTTGAGAACTTTTGCTCACTAGTTTAGTTTTTGGCTCGAAAAAGCTTTTGTCTGATAATTTGGCTTTAGAATTTGATTGGCTACTTTCATCCTGCAATCATCAGCTCTATTTTTAGTTCGACTTCCAATTCACTTGCAATGTGTTCCTTGGCGAGAAAATTACTCCGAGTAAAATTTGCATGACTTTCACTTTTAACTTTCACTCGATCAATCGATTTTTAGTCAACTAACCACGAGTAATCCTCTTTACACGTCGAGTAAATTGAATATCTTACATTTGAAGGATTTCCCACCAAATCAGTTAAACGGCTGAATCTCTTTAAAAAGAGTCGTATATCCAAATGTTGCTCGTGCCTCTTATGGCAATAATTTTGGGGTAGGCTAGCGTTCGGCAACTTTTTTGCGCAACTGTGTCTTTTGCGTAATGTTATAACTTTCTTCAAGTGGAGCCAATCTTTATGATTTTGGTGTCATTTGTTGCACTTGTTGAGATCATAAAATGAAACTAAAATCATAAAGATTGACCCACTTAGAAGAGAGTTATGGTGGAGTTGCGTAAACTGACCCAGTTGCGCAATATGACCCAGTCGCGCAAAAAAAGTTGCCGAAACTAGCCTGCCCCATAATTTTCGCTAAAAGTATGGCATGGACAACATAGCGACCTTTGCGCACCCGGCTCATTTACGCATCTTTTTTATCTTTCGCGTTTTAAAAAGCTCTAAAAAGCTGAATGATCAATACTTTCCTTTCCCAAAAGTTGGTTTTCTGGGTAATTTTAGGGTGTGGAATCTGAAATTTTGGCATATCAGAGCTTGTGGAAATAACATGGACGGAGTTACGCATAGGGAAAAACCGATAAATTTTCTGTAATTTGACCTACCTGTTATCTCTTCAAATTGATCTCACATGATTCCACATGCACTGATATGTCGTAATCTCATCCTACACCCTAAAATTACCCAGCAAAATAACTTTTGGGAATGGAAACTGGTGTATATTAGCTTTTTTAGCTTTTTAGCTTTTTAGAGCTTTTTCTAAAAGCAAAAACAGATGCGCCAATGAGCCAGGTGCGCAAAAACGTCGCATTTGTCCCACTCACCTAACAGTGCGGTCATTTTTCCGGGGTAAATGTGCGTCTAAAACTGCATACCTCGCTAGGCGTAGCTTTAGCGGAAAATTGAATATCTTTTGATTTTCAAAGCAAACCCCAGCGAGGGGCAGCCACGCACCGCGACGGAAAGCTCAAAGAGCCAGTTAGTAGCTTCCCCTTTTGCTGACTCTTCTTGAAAATTGCGCGATATTAAAATAATTTTCCGCTTTATTTCCGCCTGCAAGCCTGCTCGCAAGGAACCCCTCTCCATTGCAATCATTAACTCAAAGTTTTAAACGACCGGGGGAAACGCCGGAAAAAGAAAATTCGCTTGACGTCTACCTTTTGATAATTACGGAATCTCAAGAGAAAAGAAAAAGAAGGAGACACCTTTTATCGCCTTGTCCATTCCATTTTGCAAAACAAATGGTTGATGTGGCGGAGTGACTAGATTGTGTTTTCCCCAAAGAATCTCCTCATTTATAATAATATTTCAATAGGGCATAGTTTTTGGCGGATTCAGATAAAAGACGATTTATTTTGCTGAGTTTTGTTACATATGATTGCCTAGAATATAGTTTCTGTTCCGAAGAAAATGACCTTTTAGGGGAAAAGTGGCCAGAGAAAATTGGAAACCTCTCCAGAAAGAATCCATCTAGTACACTGAAAATTGGGGAAACAATACTGTGAATATGAAGTAAAATGTGGTCTGAAGATCAATTGATTCTAATTCAAGAGTATTTCTGATAATGAGCTTCATATCCTAAACGCCTTCACTTGCAATAATAGCTTGATTATGTATATTTAATTGATTAATTCAATCGATCTCGCCCCAAGTGCGACAAATTTCTATTTGGAAGCGCTCTTCGATCCTACTTTTGAATGGTCCAAATGGTTGCTAACCCGTCAAATTTTCTAAGTTAAAGTTTCAGACATGTTTTTTATGTAGCTTTCTTTGAATAGAAGACTGGTAAGAGTATCTATCGCGTGCTCCTGCGTAGCAGTCCTTTTTTAAAGCTTCTCTTCTGCAGTAAAGCCCCAATCAGTTTTATAGGCTTCGGAAGTAATGGCCAAAAATCTGTTAGCTCATGTGTGGTATTTTTGAGCCATTTCCCAGCTCTCTCATAGCACTTGATTGAAAGCTTTTATATAGAAAAGAAATTTTAAAAGGGAGTTGCTACGCAGTGAGTCCGTGATGCACCTCATTCTTTACGCGGTCTTTTATTTTCGAAGAACTACGGTAATCTTATGGCTTTTTTGAAATTATGGCATTAATTGGAATAGTTTAGCTTATGGTTTATACTAATTTTGGTGGGGTATATTCTCTGGTTCTGGTAGAAAGTTAATCTTGGAGATCCACTCTCACCTGCCACATTCCTGTCGCAATGCTGTCGACAAATTGTAGTACTCGGGACGAGTGAACCATCTGGTGGAATGACCAGAAAAACACCGAATTCCCTGAAAATCTTTCAAGTTCTTTTTTCTAAAAGTTAAACGGTGTACCGTGAATAGCTCTGTGCGCCAAATAATAGCAGAGATCTTGAGTGAAAAAGCAGATCATCCAGGTTGTTGAAGAGTGCGGATCGAGGTCGATGATACGGAAATGAGAGAAAAACCATGGGCGTTAGAGCTGCTGACATGTAGCGACCGCCGAATCGGAGAAAGATTAAAATGGAAAAGTTGTGCTATTTCGTTTTCAGTTTACTCATCAGAAGTGGAAAGAATGCCAGCAGCCGTTGATTGATCATCGTGTCGTTGGAAGGCATATTTTCGGTCATCCAAAAAGTAAAAAACTCGATGAGGACAAAAAATAGCATCCTCAGGTTTGACTAAATGACTTTTTTTGTTTGTTTAAAAACTTTGGAATTGGCAATGTTCATACTATGAGAGAAAGCTTTTGTTAATCTAGACAAACAACAATGGGGATGGGACAAAGGTGCACCTTTTTCGCACTTATTTAGTAAAATATTCCCCCTACATAGTGAAACTAAGCCCTTTTTTTCCCATCGAAAAAAAAGGTGCGCTTTTGGTCGGGTGCGCAAAAAAAAGGTGCACCTTTGTCCCACCCCCAACAACAATTATTTCATTCCCGTATTTCATTGTGCTTAAGCCGTTTAAACCATTTTTAAGTTTTTTTTCAAAATTTCTTACATTTTCGAGTAAATTCGGCACTTCTTCGATACTTTTATAGTGCATCGTTTCATTTGGTGTGACGAGATAAAAGAGGTCGCAGATCCAGTCGGATCCAAATCCGCCGCCAACCTTTCCAAGCACCCACATTTTGCTGGAAATTGTTTCATCTGTTATTGGGAAACAATTTGAATAGAAAAACACAAAAAACCGAATGTTAAACTCAAAAAAGCATCGGTAAAGGTATTAAGTAAATGCACGCTGTCAGAGTTCTAATATAGGGTGCGGCGAAAGTTCTATCCTTTTTAGAATTCTCTCTAAAAGCTTCCTGGTTGATTTTATTTCATAAGTGTTTATAGCCAAAAGATAGCCAATCTTTTACAGAATTTAAATCTTTTTACAGTTTTTAAATAACTTTTTTTAGATTTTGAGTTATCGCTATTCTATGCTCTTCGAAAGAATTATTTGTGGCACTTATTTTTGCGCTTTTTCTATTGTAAAAATTTGTATAAAAATTACAAATTTATTGAAAACTGATAAACAATTTTGTTTTGAATACTCCTAATCATCTAAGATTGACAGATTTTCTTATACTGGTAATACTAATACCGTATTCCCTCTAATAGTAGTGCGCACTACTATTTTTTTTAACCCCCTCCTGGACCGCAATACTATTAGAGAGTGCACTACTATTAAAGAGTGCACCTCTATTAGAGAGAATACGGTAATTGGTGCGAACACAGAGCTCACGCAAATTGTGTTAACTCAAAATTTAAAGGAGCTATTTAAAGCTATTTAAAAAACGATAATAAAATTTAAATTCTGTGGAAAATTGCCTATCTTTTGACTATAAATACTTATGAAATAACAATCAGAGAGAATTCAATTAAAGAGAATTTAAAAAGGACAAAACTTTCGCCGCACCTTGTAGTTGTGAAAGACTCAAGTCAGTTTAGATCACCAGCGTTCAACCTGATATCTAGATGAATTGAAAGCCTCCAGGACTTTACAGAAAAAAACCCTTTTATGGGTTTAATGTGCACGTTAAAACCCAATAAGAGTACCGATAAAAACCACCAATTTTCGTAAGCTCTATCAGGGCAATCCCTCCTCCTTTTCCCCTTTACTACATACTATTTCGACCTTTGTCCTGAAAATCAAAAAAAGCAAGGCTAAAGTCTTTGTGATTTTTATGATAACGTTCATCGATGAAAAGATCAAGAACAAAAACGTTTAAGGAATTAGGTCTGAAAAGGGTGATTATCAGGAAAATGAGAGGAGACTACGCAGATTTGATATAAATAGTGACGGGGTTTGATAAATGTTCGAATGACAGCAAAAACATGAAAACTACAGGGTGTAGGGAGCAGTTTGGGTGTCCGGGAAGGATTTGGAAAAGAGTTGGGCACACAGTACACCCCGCAAACAATTTTAGCGGTGCCTGTTTTTCGGGAGCCATCTGCTGCTCACCTGATTAGCAAAGCTATTGAAATTTCGAGGTTTGGAGAGAATTTTGCCAATAATTTTGCCAATTTTTCATTAAGAACTACAGAGTTGGTTTTTGCTTTCTGACATTTCTCTTATTTTTTTTATGATAGATTTTGTTTATCTAGAAACGTAGCTACTAATGTAGACTGTGCTATTGTAACTAGTGTTTTTATAAAAAAGATACTTTTATTATGGCTAAACTATCATACTTCTTGGCATGTTAAAAAAACTATCGTAAAAACTAAAAACTCTAGAGGCAATTTCAACACATGATCAAAGCAGGCCAGGGCAGAACCAGGGCCCGGGTCCACCAACCACTAAATTTAGCAAAACCCTCGAGTTTTGCTAAATTTAACAAACTTCTGTTTTGCTAAATTCAACGGGTCCATCAACGCATTTAGCGAGTTGTATCTCTAGCAAAATATCATTATGTATTCCACGTGTAAGTTTAGCACTGCCGCCAGCTCCGAAAACACGAAAAAGCCCGGCTCCGAACAAAGATATCAAAAAAACTAATCACAGATTCGAACTCCGACATACTCTGGCTACAAAAGAAGCCAAAATTTAGCCAATTTTGAGCAATACAACTTATCTTATTTTATATGGCGACATCAGAATATTCAGTCTACATAAGAAATAGAACTCAATTTTGCTAAATTTAGCAAAAAATTTTTTTGGTTTTAGCACTGCCATTTAGCATTTAGCAAGTTGGTAAATTTAAATTGGTAGATCGATTTCGATCGATTTCGCAAAATTGGTAAATGCTAAACTGTTAGGTCCGTTTTATAAAATAGCCAGATGGTAAATTGGTACCCAGTGAAATGGCAAAATAGTCATGAATCCAGGCCCAGGTCTGGTCTTGCCTGCCTGGCCTCGTTGAAACAGCTTTGCCTCGGCTGCTTCGTCTGTTAATTCTGTTAAAGCTTTTGCCGAGTGCTCATGGACAATCCTAAAACTAAAACTTATCTATGTACTCATAGATACAGAACGCCTTAAGCATTTTCAATGGAAATGACAGAACGCCTTATAACATTTTCAATGGAAACAGCACAAGAACTTGAAAGACAATGAAATTCGCTACTGGAAGACGGGCCTTGGAACCGCCAACTGCTACAATTTATATCTGATGTGTTCTTTTTTTAGCGGTTGCCGATCACTGATAAGATTTGAATAGAAGAGAGTATAGTTGGTCGCTCGATGCTCGATCACTCACGAAAATTCCGAGGATCGGCTCATTGGAACTGAAGGGAAACGGGGCAAAATACACAAAACACACCGCCAATTACGAATGGGGCATTTCTGTAGCTTTGTAGTGTTCTTGCACAGACCAAGTTCGCCAATGAGGGTTCAAGTTTTTAGGACATCTACGAATGAATCTAACAAACAGAACCCGTTTTCGCCCAAAAAAGTACGTTACTCAATTTCGCACGCAAATAGACCTTGCGCTAAACTTGTGCTATTTCTATGCACTCTATGTGAAATTCATGCTTGACAACCGCAAACATTAGCATAAATTAAGAAGTTTAGCATAAATCCCATCGAAATTTATGATTTACAGGGTTCTTTTGCTATCTAAAAACGTTTTTGACAGAATAAACTTGGTATGTAAAGTAACAGTAGTAGTTAAGGCTGTAATGCACCCTTCGACACCACATTTGCTAGTTCTTTGTCAATTCATCCGCGTTTTCCATATTGTTTTTTATAAAGTTCATCTTGCTGTCCAGAATTGTTGCCTACAAGCGCTTTCTTTGCACACCCATTCTCTGAGCTTTCTTTTCATTGGGAAAACTCCTCTGCCACGCACAGCCAATGTTCCTTTTGTTTTGCCTTCTTACTTCTTAAAACCTGGGGCAAATCCATATTTTTCTACTTCAGGATTACTTGCAATTGCTGTGAAGTGGATGCGCCAAACTTTGATCTATGGACGGACTTAAAGCCGAGAAGATTGCCCTGGCAAAGAAAAAGGTAATTGAGGTTTTTGAGTAAATTTATGGTTTTAACAATTTGTTTATAACTTTGTTTTTAGTTGAAAGAATTCGAGCTTCGACGAAATCGAGAAAACGGTTTTTCGCCAACTCCATCGGGAACCTCTTCCACCTACAATGATCAAGTATTTATGGCAAATTAACTTTATATTTTGTTCGATAGCTTGGATCGGCGCCACCTTCTTTTCAATCGGATCGAAATGGCAGAACATCGGTAACAAGCAATCATTCTGGTATAATGTTTCTTTAAAGTTTTATTAAAAATTTCTATAGGAAACGTGGAGACTCTCGATGCAGGTCCTGTAGCTCATTTTGAGGGAAGAAATGGTATTCACAATTCGGATACAATAATTTCTGTAAGGGCTTGGTTATTTTCAAGATGGTTCTTTCTGATTTAGATTCCGTCAATTCTTCCGACTGCTTGTCCATCTTCTTCAAATGTATTTTAGTTATGAATTTAGAAACAATTTGATCCAACATTTTAGCTCGAACTAGAGAATTTGCGTGTCCAACTACAAGATCGTGATCAAGCCCTGCAAAGTTTGAACAAGCAATTGGAAGAACTGGTAAAGTAAAGAGTACCATAAATATTCACGGTCATTTTAGAATGGATACTACGGTCAACTACATGCAGCATACACTGAATTGAGCGCAAAAAATGTGAACATATCAGGTCCCGGGGATCAAATCGCACAACTTCAAGCGGTAAATTCCTTCTTTTAACGGTATTATGTGTTTTAGGCACTTTCTGGTCTTGTTGCTGAGAAAACTGGTCTTCAAGCAGAGCTACGGAATGCAAAAGAAGAGCTTGAGTTTTTGAAACACGAGTTAGATCGAAACAACGTAATTCATCAAGCCATCATAATGGTTGGAAACAAGCTTTAGGCTACATCTTCAAATGAAAAGGATAGGAAATGTCGAACGTTGAACGGGAGTTGAACACTTTGAGGCGTGAGCCCGGCGATAAAATAAGCTCGTGAAAAAAGGAGTATCAATTTTTTCACTAACTTTATGCTTTTTTATAGATTGGAAGAACTGGAGAGCGAGAGAAGGGAATCGGCACTGAAATTAAGAACTCTGAATGTTGACTCTGCAACATCATCGAAACGAGGCTCAAGTAACTGCCCTTTTTTTTCCTTGTGCCATAACATTTCTATTCAGGTTCGATTGAAGAACGATCCTATCGAGATAAAGAAGCTATGGGAAATGAATTGAAGGTAGATTCACAAGCTAATATCTTTGTTTTTATCAATTTAGAATTTGCGAAAAGAATGTCAGATGAAAGACCTATCATATAATGCAAATATCAATCGCACAATTCACAAAGAGACCTTACATCTCCGATAGCTAACGAAGAATGGATACATCCGCAAGGTTAAGAGGTTCTCGCTTCTAAAAGACATCTGGTTTCAGCTGAATGTGAGAAATTTCGTCATGACGTAGAGAGGCTTTCTGTAGAGCTTGAAGAAGCTAAGAGAGAAGTCAATGAATCTCGGACACAATACAATGAATATGGAACATACATGAACGAAAATATTGCTAGATTAAACAAGGAAGTAAGTGTTTATATTGAATTTAAAAAATGAAACTGCTTTCAGCTTGATGAATCTTCATTGGCGAAACATACTCTGGAGACGCGCTTAAATGAGGTGGAAAACCAGCTCGAATTGGCACAACAGGAAAAAGCTGAGAATCGGAAGAAACTCGATAGCCAGAGAGCTTCCCCAAGTTTACAGGTAAAATAGAGGTTCTGTACAAGCAATAAAAATTTTCAGGGTTCATCTCAAAATCTAATTCCAAGTGATACCGAGGTTTTAAAGAAGATTGATGATGCGGTACGCCGTGTCACCACTCATTGGGAACAACTCTTAGAGCAAGCGAGAAAAGAATATGAAGATGGGAACAAAGAAAAGGTCTGTGCGGCAGAAAAAAGTAGTTTGGAGCGTTTTAGCCATCCACTAAATTAGGCATTATCATTTCATCATATTTAGGATCGGCTACTATTTGAGCGAGAAGCATCAATAGCTGAGTTACAACTGAAACTGCGGCTATCTGCAGAAAATGAAAAAGTTTATGGAGATGCTTCAACTGTAATTTTCATCTCAATTTTATTTTTACGTTTATTGTATTAGGGGCTACTTTCACTTTCGGAGCAACTACAAGCAGAAAAAGCCACAGTGTCACGCGCTGTCGCCCAGAATAGAGAGTTGAAAGAACAGCTAATTACAACAGAAGGCATGCAATATTTCCGTTTGTTGTTTTAATTTTTGTTTCTAGATCGTTTGATTCAATTAACAGGAGAGAAATGTGCAACAGAACTCTCTCGTCAAACCGCGGAACATCAAGTTAAAGAGTTGCAAAAACAATTGGAACAGGTTGCTATTAATGCATTCGCCTTTTAGAAATTTCTTTTAGACGTCTTCATCTCGTTCACACTCTTTCTCCCCACAAGCACAAGAAGGCGATAACAATGCATCAGCTGTTGTTGCACAACCGGAACCTCCTCTTGGTAAAGATCCTTATGCGCAGCGGAACCACGTGATGCACGATGATGAGGTAGATAAGGTTTATCGGGAACAGTGTTAGCATAGAATTTAGGTTTCTATTGCCTCTGAAGCTATAAACAACGATAGCCAAGATTTGAAAAATGAATTGGACGAGACGAGAAGACAATTGGATGAGGTTTTATTTTGCTCTTATGTGAAGTATGTTTTGAAATTTTAGGTTAGAGCTGAGTTGCGCCGATCACATACACAAAATGAACAGATGAATCAAATCATGCGCCAGGTAAGCATTGTTCTTCATTTACGATTAGGTAAGTGAACACATGCTTTTTATTTGAACTCATTAAGTTCGACTTCAAAACATATTTAAGAACGCTGAAGATGAGAATCAAAATAGCATTCTTGTGGAATTGGGAGCAAGCGATTTCTCGTGCTAAATGCACTCGCTCACGAGAACGAGACTTTGAGGTAAAAAAAGTCAATGCTAATTAAAATTTTTTAGGGAACAAGTTGAAGAAGCCTCCGCTTCTCGCCGAACGAGCAGAAAAACCAACAATCCTCAAGTTCATCATCCAGGTTTGTTTCGGGTTGAAGCTGAAGTTGCGTCGCTTTGTTTTAGTTTTCTACCTCAAGAGGTTAACAATCTGGAGCTAGAAGCTGCTACAACAATGATACATCAGCTCCGTCAAAATAATGAAGATCTACCGTATGTGTTTTAAGACTTCTTTTAAGCAAAAGGTGTTTTGAGTAGAGAAAAGGTGGATCAGTCTTACTCGTCTTTTAACGGGAAGCTCCCTCCTCATCTCAAAAGCACTTGAATAGAAGAACGAACAAATTCTCAACAGGTAAAAGTTAAAATTGATTGCGCTATTATTTCCTTTGGCGCGATGTACCACCACACTTCTCCACTACACGAAAAGGTAAAAGGTTTTTAATGGATATTTTCGCTACCTTTCCATTTAGCTATAACTTTGAACAATACACAGGAAGTTGGCTCTATGGAATGGGCAAGAATTGAACTTGAAGCGCGTTAGTCTAAGAAAGGTATCTGATTAAAATTAAAATTTAGCGCTTATGCAGAATCAATACAGCGTTTAGCTGAAATGCAAGAACAGTGTGATAGAGTCGGTAAGAGTTACTTTTAGAATTGAATTAAATATCTGTTTTAGAACATATAAACCAACAGCTTCAATTGGAGGAATGAAACTATTGCCGACCATATTTTACTATATCAACATCAGGTTTAAACATTTCGACGTCGTTACATGTTAGATTTAAGCGACGCTTGATTCGTAGAACGTCTTCGTCAGAAAGACGAACAAATGGCGGCCCTTGAGAAGGAGCGTGAACGCGTTGTGGCTAGGTATGTTTATCAAAGCTCTTTAAATATGGGACTGTCAAAACCATTTAGTTATCATTTTAGATGTAATGAACTACAGCAAGCACTTATGCATGTCTTGGGCAATTGATCGGAATGAGAGTTTTTATTAATTGTTTTTAGATGATCCTATATTTAGGTACCGGCGTTCCGTCCCCGCTTATACAGCCATTCAACGGTATTTAAATTCAGTGGAGATGAAGAGTGCATTGTTGAGCAGGTGCAAAAGAGGTTTTTATGTTGTCAGGCTGCCCACAATAATGTTGGTTTAGAATTCTCAATCCCTTCCGCCAAATGTTCATCATTCAACAGAAACCAATGGTCAAAAAGAAATTCGGTATAATTTTCTAGATTTACTTGTATTTACCACTTTAGTCGGGAAACCAAATCAAGAAAGTAATCGCACAATCTTTAAGATCAACTGGAAGAGAATTCACCACCGACTGATTGGACAAATCGCGAAGATGCGGTGAAGAAAATCATGGACATCATCGACGATATAAAGGTTTGTTTAGCTAGTAACTTTACGAAAGTTACATAAATTTTAGAAACCGATCATGCCTTTGTCTTCATTAAAACTGCAGGTGTAAACAGTTGTATCGGACCCGTTCTACATCTTTAGCAAGAGTTAGCATTTTTGCACTACAAAATTGCATAACTTTTCACAATAGTCTAGTTTGTTCTTTATTGCGTTTATTTATTGTGATTTGCGCTGGTCGCTCTATCACTCCATTAGATTTTGTATGTGATAGAGTTTCTTCTAACTTGTCCATACAGGTGCACGTGTGCCTAAATCTTTTGTTACCTGTTTTGTGCTTGTATATCCTGCATTATTATCCTTTTTGCCAATGATTTTAACAAAGTGTTTTTATTTGTTGCCTTTTTTTTTGAAGCATGGTTTGATTAATTTATTTCTGAAATAAACTTTACGAAAATGATAAACTTGCATTGGTTGTGGTTTCAAAGTGATAATTCAAAAATCATTATTAGATCCCCAATTGGGTGGGAGAGGAATTTCTTTGTTAAAAAAAATACCTTTTAAAATGCACATTCATTTAGCTTTTCTTTTCGAAAATTGCACGAGTTTTGGTTTATAATTTAGTGAATGAGCGAAGATTAGAATCGTTAGAAGTTTTATTAGCTGAACGGATTAACGCTGCAAAGGATCTTTTCTCGAAGCTACACGGTAAGAAATTAATTTTATCTTTTATTCAATGCTCTAATTTAGAGGATCAGTATGCCAAGATACTGGGGGATTGGGAAATTTCGCAATCGACTAGCCAGCGAGCTTCGTTTCTTGAAGGTGGCGTAGGTAGAATCTTTATTTTTAATCAACACCTTATTACAGACTTTAGATTTCTGAGGGTAAAACCCAATTACTACGGGAAATACATCGATACGTCAGTGTTACACATTTTGAGAATATTTTCAATCAGATTACGAAGTAAGTTGCTGGAAATTTCTTTTTGTTGTTAAATTTGTTTAGACTGAACAAAGTTAAAGGTATTTTGCACAATTTCACCTCGTGGATAAAGAAAATGGAGAGTGAGTAAACAGTTGATTTAAAGAGTCGATCCTGTAAACTTTTAGAACCTTAAAACATACAGCTGATTTAGTTGCAGACGGAGGTGAACAATGGGTGAAGGTATAAAAATATGTTTTTCTTATTTAAATCGGTCGATTTGGGTGGTTTCCCGAAGCGCTAAAACGGTGTAGCTATGGACTGGTTGACGGAAATGATCGGAAACATTTTTGGATCAGGCATCAGCTTACCTTCAAGTTGTGCCTAATTTATTTCGTTGCAAAATTTTTTTAGACAGCTATTCTTTTTCCGACTGGATTTGTTGTACCAAAGATCACATTTTTCTTTATGGGTGGTGTACCGGATAAAATGGCCGAAAGGCTACATTGAATGGGAATTCGAGTTCATGGAGAAGAGGTTGTTAGGATACGAAAGGTAGTTCTCTCTACCGTTTTCAGTTTTCACTTGACAATCTAGTGAAAGTTCCTAGCGACTGTGCTAGAGGCTCTCTGAAGAGAAAGAAGATCTTAGGAATACCAATAAATTCCAACGATATTAGTAAATCCATTTTATCTTGCCAAATAGTTGAATCTAATTCCTTTAGAGTTACCGCGAGATCCTCCAATCCACTTGGATGCTTAGCACTGTATTTGCCTGGTGTCTAATCACACACATGAAGGAGGAACGGGAACGTCAAGCAAGATCAGATACGATTTGGATAATATTATAACCTTAGCTTTCGCTGAAAGCCAGTTGCTACGCAGAGCAAGCCGCCTGGGTATGAAGAGTGCTCCGGAGAAAGAAAAGTTGCTACACCAAATTGAGGGTATCTTCGAATTGAAGTTAACATGAAATTGCAGTTTTTAGGTCATCGATGGATTATTTGTCAAACTGCAATGAAAGTGTTGCCAATATCCTGCCTCTACAGTATTCGGACCAGCTGAAACAGTGTTTTCCAGATTTTAGCTTTGAACGATATTTTTGGGAACGGGTAGAAGAGTTACTTAAAAACGTTGAAGTTGTGGAAGATAACCGCACTGAACGATCAGCTTCACTGCCCGATAGTGAGCGGATCAGCGCACGTGAGCAGGGTATTATTTTTTCTGTTTAGATATATCAAACTAGCATTTTAGGTAATTTTTTCAAGTCTGGGTGATTACTACCGAGCTGTGACGACAACCGCTAGCCAAGCATTTTGTCTCATCTGCTTGCTCTATTGATAATTTCAAAGTTGACTATTCATAGATTGTAAGTGAATTTAAATTTTCAAGTTGTTCAAAATCAAAATTTAAATAATTTAGGTGTATGCTTCAATGCACCTGTACATGAACCACGAGCACTTAGCGAGCAAAAAGAGGATGTTGGTATTAAAAAGTAGTCTAATCACTTTACTTATTGTTGATCATCCGGGTTCTATTCTATTATTGTTTTCAATTCCTGTAGTTACCGATTTTTATGTGTTCATTTTTTTAAAATTGCAATAAACGGGCTATTTGGTTGAGTAATGCTTTTTTGTATTGTGTTTGAAACAGCAATACTCAATTCACTTTTCTTCTTCTACTAAAGTGCAAACAGAGGTTTAGGATGAGTGCCGATTCGGTCCCGAAATATTTGCTCCGGAAGATCGACTGCAATCTAGCAAGCTGTTAGGAATGTCAAATATAATGGGTTTTCTTTTTTCTAGGACCTTTACATCATTTTTCCTTTTCAGTCGATGGCAATTATGTGTTAACCTGCGGCTCCGACAAAACGATAAAGCTCTCGAATCCAAACACGGGTGCTCATGTTAGCACATTTATGGGTGTGGGCAACGAGGTTTTATTTTTCAGGAAAGCATTTTTAAATTACTAATTCCTAGATATTAGGACATGGCCTTCTTCTTCGGATAACTCGCAACTTGCTGCTGGTGGTGAGTGGCAGATAAAACTTGCGTAAATTATTTATAAAATGATAGGACTTGATAAATGTGTCACGGTTATTGATGTGGAGACCGGGAAAACGGTTAGAAAAATATCGAAATCATGCCGGTGTGTTGTTTAACGATTACTCTGTAATGTGTCTGCTTCTAGCAAAAGTTAACGTTGTCTGTTATAATGAAGAATCGGAAACTGTCTCTTGTCTGGTCGATGGATACAACTGTTCACGTTTTTATGATGTGGAACCAAAAATGAAGAAGCTATTCAGGTAGTTTTTCTAAAGGCTAACTTTTATAGATTTTAATTCAGATTTTTAATGAAGCAGCTGATGCGATACTTTCCTGATACATGTAAATGGACACGATATCGTGGTTGGATCAGCTGATGGTCACTACAGACATTATAGCGTGCGTGATGGAGTGGTAAGCTTCAAAAATTCTCAATATTTGATTCAACCTGGGTTTCACGTGTCATCTATAGTAACGTAACTTTTTATATTTTTAGGTAAAATTGAAGATTTTCTTGGCGAATCGGTGACGTCTATATTTCGTTTACTCCCAGATGGAAATTGCATACTTGCTTCCACTTTGGATAGCACATTGAGACTGATGGACAAGTCAAGGAGCGGAAAATGCTCGCACAGTGAGTTTTGAGTCAGTATCATCGATATGTAAACCATACGTTCCAAGATATTAGGGTCATCAAAATCGCGACTTTATGGATTCGACTCTTGTATTCTTGCCCTCGATCACCGAAGTTGCAACAGGGAGCGAAGATGGAAACGTTCCTCGTTTACAAAGTACTTTACTAAAAACCAAATGATGAAACGTGTTTTTCTAGTTTTAATCCGATCAAGCATCGTTAGTACGTCTACCCCACAAAGCCCTGTTTGTGCACTTTTACAGTAGCTGCTCATCCAAAGAAACAGAGCTGGTTTGTCCTAAGGAAGTCTTTTTGCAAATTCATTCCCTTTTAGGTATCAGCTTGTGCAAGAAGCCTCGATCTCTGTATGGACCAATCAAAAGGAGATTGAAGAAGAATGATCAAGTTTTATTATCACGTGCGTATTTATTAATTACTCAATATTAAATAAATTTCTTCACAGCCATCACATTATATCAAAACATTTTTGCTAATATAAATATTTACCACATGTGACCCAAACCTCATTTCTAATTTACTTTTAGGCGATGATTTATGTTGTCGTTGGTGCGGCGTTGGGGGAGTCTCTTGTGTTAGATGTCTACGAGCAAGAATTTATCACAGGAAGATGGAGGTTTCAGCATATTGACACTTAAAAGTTTGCTGTAAAATAGTAGGATTGAAAATGGAACATATCACTTAAATTTGATGTATAAGCATTTCTTTAGGTGTACCAGATCACAGCAGGACGTCATGTAAAAAGCATTCACAATTGGATTAAGGTTTGCTTTTTCCATTTTTTCTGATTTTATTAATGAATTAAATTCCTTAGGAAATAGTTTTTAGGTCGTTGACAGTTCACCGAACTGTTTCATGTGAAAGAAGAGGGACTTTCGTTTGCCGGTGAAGGTGTGCACGTAATTTCAGCAAGTGTCACATCTTGGGATTACAAAAACAAAGTTTGGCTTTTATTTTATTCAAAGTTTATGGATTAATATTTTAGAGTCTCTATTTTCCAATGGTAAGCAAATTAGCGTTTGATCGACTTGTGATTGCAACTGGAGCTAGGCCAAAGGTTTTTCACTACTTGTGGTTGAATGTCATTTCATATTGTTCTAGAATCCGTATCCACATGTTTCTCGAGTGTTGACTCTTCGTGACACCGAAACGGCTCGCCATTTGGAGAGAAAGATTGGCAGGGGCTCGTAAAGTGGCAATCATTGGAAATGGAGGCATCGCCACTGAATTCGGTGTAATTTTTAACACTTTCGATTATATGGCTTGATATTTAGGGCTGGGTAAGCTAAAGAAAAGAGCAAAGAGATTTTAGCTATGAACTACGGAAAGTCGAGATTTTCTGGTGCATTCGAGAAGAACACATTTCCGCCGTTTATTTCGATGTGGCGACGGCAAAGGTTCTGGAAGACCGAGCGAAAGTTGGACGTAAAGGAGCTGAAAAGAACCAAGAGGCTTTGGCGTTTGAAATGCAAAACAAAACTTTTCCTTTCTTAGCCTGTGAAGCGCATGAAGTATGCGGATGCTGGAGAAGGGTCTCTCAACAAATTGTGACACGACCACCGGATGTGCTCTGGGGCCTGATTGGAGTACTGTTGTCAACCTCGAAGGAGGATCTGAAGTGAGTCTGTTACTATTGGCAGTGAGCTAGATTTTTTAGGGTCATAATGTGCATGTTATCCCGAAAGTGGAAGTTGTCCCTTTGGTTTAGATTGAAAACGGAGTTCGTTAAACCTGCATTTATCAAATGGAACTACTCTTAGAGGTGATGCAAAATAGATTTAAAAATTTTTATTATTATCTAGGTCGGAAATCGTAATTTGGGCAACGGGATTAGTGCCGAGATAGCGCAAGTTTGGAGGAGAGATCTGTCCTGAGGTAAGTGTAAGATTGTCCAGGATAATGAGGTTTAAAAAAACTAGTTTTTACTGTTCCCTTTTAGTTAAAACTTCCCCGCCGATAATGGTATTTTGCGTTGATGGAAACCATGCGCACTTCAATCGGCGATGTATGGGCATGTGGTGATGTTTGTACGGTTGAATGGCCAACGAATGCCTACTGGACTCAAGTAAGTTCTCGAATGAACTTTTTAATAACTTTTTAACTTTTTAATCGTAAATGCTTTTTTTTATGCCAGTTGTAACTATAGCGAGCATCGATCGATTATTGTTTTCGATGCGTACATGGACTCAAGCTCGACAAATGGGAGATTATACCGGCACGACGAGTTCTCAATTTGTGCGATTCCCTTGATTTTTGTTTCTGAAATGTTTGCTCATTGTACTACATTTTATGGATACAAAGTAAGACTATAACGTAGTCAAAAATCAATTTCTTGCAGGATTGTTCTTCTTGGCGATTTTAAAAGCGACTCATCAACCCGATGGCTGGTACATAATAGAAAGGCATTTTTTTGACGTGTGAAGTTCTCATCTCTTGTAATAGAATCATTGACGATTTTCAATTGGCTCGTTGTGTAATGGAGTCTCATCGGGGTGCGTGGTGCTGTTCTTATCGGGGAAACGGATTCGAAGAGGTGTGCAACTTATTAGAAATTCATATTTTTGTTTCGTGGGTGCTCGAAAATTTGATATTGAACGGCACAGACCATGACTGGTCTGGAAGAAGAGTTTCTCTGATCTCGGACGTTCATCCTCGAGGACTACTTTGATTGACTTGTTATAAAGTTTTTGGATTGCGTTGTTCTTTTATCAAATAACCTGTTAAGAATAATTTATTTGCAACTATGTGAAACGGTTTTAAGTTTAGCTTTAAGCATTTTTGGGTCAAGCAAGAGTGCGGAGCTTTATTGCTTCGCGATGTTCCCCTTCAATTTCATTTTTCCAGACACTAAAAGCCTGCAAAGTTGGATTTTTCTGAGATTTGATAGAATTCTGATACCTGATCTGGTTTTGAGAGCGCCAGAGGCAATCTGCATAAAGGCATCATCTGAAATGGTGACTGAGATCTCGGTTGGACGTCTTCACGGAAATAGGGAATTCTTTTTCGTTAACTTATCTCGGGTTGCAATGGTATTTGAAAACTTCAAAACCCACTCATTTCCGACGTACGGTGGTGAGGTGTGGCTTTTGTGTCAATAAAACCGCTTCTTTTGTTGTCCCATTGCCGGTGATCACAAGATCGAATGAAGCCGCAACTTTATCAACCAAATCCTTCTCCCGAAAATATTTACATCTGATTAAGAAATTGTAAGGTTCTTTAAACGAACTGTATTTATTTTCTCCTTCGATCTCGTCGAAAATCACATCACTTTTCAGCGAGGGTCCATTTGAGATCAAGTTCAGAAACTCATATGAGATTCCCTTTGCTATCGATTTTTGCGTACCTTGGTTTGTCCATGAGATCCACCATCGGCCATTATTCGCAATGCAACCACACCGGCTCCTCCCGATACCCGGGAAACGTTTTTGAGTTTTTCTCGCCTAATTTTTTCAATACCGATGTTATGTTGCATCGCGTATTTTGTGTTTGGCACTCTGTCGTTTTCCTCCGCGTCCCCGTAGTTGATTGGACAATTCGACGACCCCAGCGACTCCTGAAATTTTTTCTTTTTAGACTTTCTAACTGAAAAGAATGAGTTTAGAAGTTTTCTTTCATTTTTTTTTACAGTAAAATATGTAGAGTTGGAAGTTTCATCAAATCTGTTGAACAAAACCGGTTGCCCTGATGTGGATGTCCCTTGGATATGAGACCGCCACTGGGGTTGATCACCCATTTTCCTCCGTTTTTTTTGTCTCCCTCGATCGATCAACTCACCAGCTTTACCTGGAAAATCAGTGTGTTAAGGAAAATCAGTGTGTTAAACACACCGATTGGGCAAAAGCCCTTGCATTTCATAGGTGATCAACTCGTTCGGAGCAAAACAGTCGTGCAACTCGATCACCTAAAGTTAAAAAGTTCATTATCTTTTGATCATAAAAGATCATAAAAAGAGGATCAGAGACGTCGTTGATCATTGATAAAAGAGATCAGAGATCATAAAAGAGAGTATGTCTCTTTTCCTTGTCCCCTCATACCTGAACATCATTCGGGGTAACACCAGTCTTTAGGCCAATTCTTGAGAAATTTTCTGAATCATGTCGGTGCCGGATCATTCTGATGTTCGAGTTGTCGGCGAACACTGACGGCAAATCGGTGCCAAGTTTGAAGCCTAGAATTTTGAGAGGTATTCGTGTTTTGTATTACCAAAACTTACCAACGATTTCGATTTTTTACCAGGGCGCAGATGGGGATGGGCTTGGAGGTAAAGGCCTGAGCAGAGAAATCGCTGCCGCTGAACCATCAGAGGTTGGACTAAAAAAAGACGCTTTTCAGCTTTACCTTATCAAATATTTTTCTAATTGATAGAGATTTTCAATAAGAGCTAGCTTACATAGAACATGAATGGGAATAGAAATAGAATGGGAATGGGAATAGAAATAAGGGAATAGAAATAAGAAATAGAAATAAGGGAATAGAAATAAGTTGATCCAGATTTTAAACTTTGAACCAGGCCGATCTTGCCGTATTTCCGTAATAGGGCATTTTCAAAGCCAAGACTTTAAAATGTACTTTCTGGACTTGAAATGTTGTCTAGATTAGCTGGATTACGGTATTTAGTCTAGGTTGGGTATTCAGTCTAGATTAGCTCGATTACGGCCTTTCGTCTAGATTGGGTACTCTTAACTTTTAAAATTTAACTTTCAAAAGACAAAACTCAAATTCTAACCACTGATTGAGGATTTTCTGATTTTCTGTTAAAGGATTAATTGTGATAAAGGATTTTCCGATTTTCTGATAAAGGATTTTCCTCTTACCTGCATTCTAAAAGACCCATAAAGTCGTAGATTTTCCTCGCGTTCATCACTTGATCAAACGAGAATTCCTTAGTGAATTGGGATTTTCTAAACATTTTACATAGAAAATTTTCCTCGTTTCCCATTAAACGCACGGATTGTTGACAGAGTGCAAATGGTTCTTGTAGGCGATTTTTGCGAAATGCTCGCGCTTGGTGCCTAAAATTGAAATTCTAAGAATAAAACAATGAAATCTTGTACCATATTTCTCCATGTGTTCTTTGCCGGCATTTCCGAACATTTGAGCAGTGATCGGTGCGGGGAAAAGACCGTAAGTGTCGGCCATCAACTGAATGAAGATTCCTTTTTTTGGAGAGTTCGATTTAAAACAGTTAAACAGTTGATATAGAATGTTATTTTGAAAAATTATCATGATAAACCCATTAGAATAGAAATTGGGATGGTTTAGAATAGATAGAATGGTAGATAGAATTGAAAACTTGTACCCAGAGTTCTCAGGGACGAGGGAGAATTCGAATCCGAGTTTGATTTTTCTACAATATCCTGCGCTTAGAATTTTACAGTTGGTTTTTACAGTATTCTCTTCTACAGTACTGTATAAGAGAATACTGTAAAAGCCAACCTCCTGGGTTCACCAAAAATGCTTAAATCCTAATATGTAAGTAAAGTTAAAACACTCAAAAAGGCGCATAAGTAAACTGATTTCTTTTTTCGATGCTCACCTGGATGTGATGATCAACGGGAAGTGCTCGATCATCGAGCTTTCCGCCCATATTCTCCAACGAGCCCGAGGCCATTTTCTTAAAATATCTTCATCAAAACCGCACACCAACATCTTTTTGTTTTCTTGTTTCTTGTTTCTTGTTTCTGACACTAATTTTTAGTTAATTGGGGAGATGTCAGAGTTTATCCCTCCGCGGAAGATATTTTATCTTCTTTCGGGCTCTAAACATCTACGTGAAATTTTGGGCCGGAACGAAGAGTCGCCAGTGAAACAACAAATCGACTTCATGGAGCAGTTTTGCACAGCCTCGCTGAATCAGCTTTTCTACTCACCGAGGCGATGTTCATCGATGGATACTTCTCGCAGCTCGTCAATGAGGGTATATGTTTTAAGTGTTTTAAATTAATTCGCCTAATTCTAGATGAATATTCTTGGACAATACTCGATGGACAGCGAGAGCGAGAAGCTAGAAGGCGAGACGGAGCGAGAAGGCTCTCTTGGATCTCGTCGACAATGTTTACATGGATTTCCTTCAAGGCTAGTCTCGTCTTTTCAAAAACGATATGTTGCTTCTTTAGGAAAGATGTTGGAAAGCCCGATCTGCTGAAGGCAACATTCATAAGATAGCGTCCTCTTTTCACTGATCGACTCGGTAGGCTGATGTTACTACACGCTTCATCGGCGACGCAAAACAAAAAAGCAACTCAAAAGTGTGCAAAGTCGATGGATGCGCGGAGGTTTTCGACTATAATATTCAATTGTAGGTTTTTTTTCATCTTCATTCTGTTTTTATCTTTGTTTTTGGTATCGACAGTTTTGGATATCAAAGAGTATTCGGTTTGGAAATGAGCACAAGTCGAAGAAACAGGCCGCGGTGAGCGGACAAAGAAATAACGGTACTTGTGGGGTTGGGGGAACTTTTTTTTCTTCAAAAGTGCTTTTTCTAGGGCGATTTTTTTGCGTAGATTACGAATTTCATAGTGGAAACTTGGGGAAATGCGTTTTAGACCGACTTTCGGGGATCCGAAGTCGCCGCCTCTACAGTGTATTTCACTACGAGCTTGTATAAGAAAATATTCATCAAACTAGGGAACTGTCTTTTCTTACCACCGATTTTCGAAACCGAACCTCTCCTTTCTGAAGGGTATAAATAAAGCTTCGAAAATTTCTATACTTTCTAAAATTTATTCAAAAAGTCGATATTGCTCTAAAAGCGTCGGAATAAGCGATTTTTGATCGAAATTTTTGTCTCGCGAGGTTTTCGAGATCTAGAAATCGATTGGCGCAAACCGTTTTTCTTGAAAATGCAATTTTTAAGCGAGTTATGCCATTGGGTCATTTAAGTTGAAAAACGATTTTTATTAAGATTTCTCGAAAACAACGGGTCATCAAGAAAAGTTATTTACAACATCGGCGTGAAAAACTGCACAAGACTAGGCTAGGTCCGGTTTCGAAAATCGGTGGTAAATTGAAAAAGATCATGTAGGTGAAAATTTCATAAAACTTTAGAAATTTGAAATAACTTTTAAATTTTTTCTTTTATTTGTTTATTGTGAGTGATTTTCCTTTTGTGATAATCTTATTTTACACTTTTTTTTTTCTCTCTTTATGTTTAACAAGAAATTTTGTTTTTTTTTAAACTTTAAACTTCAAACCTCAAAGCCACACGCCAGCACAACATCCGCATTTCCTTAAATATTATTCATTAACAAGTTAACATTAACAAGTTAACATTAACAAGTTAGTATTAACAAGTTAACATTAACAAATTAACATTAACAAATTAACATTAACAAGTTAGTATTAACAAGTTAACATTAACAAATTAACATTAACAGAATCCCACCTGACTCCAAGATTTGCTTGCAAAGGAAAACACCAGATGAGCCTGAAGCGCACGCGTTGTTTACCTACAACTCTAAGAGCTCGAAAATTTTCATAAAAATAAACATTGAAAATCGGGATCCCGGTGAAACCAAGCTCATAAAGAGCCCGTTGACCATTGCAAGTGCCTAAAAAGTATCGAAGCCTCCTATGAAGAGAGGAGATTTTCTTCACCTCCATACAAGTATCCAACGGTGGCCTGTTGAATGTCCTTGTACTCAAGTTTTGCGTCAGCCAAAGCCTCGTTCACTGAAATTTATGAAATTTATGCGACTTCTGGTAGTTAAAATGATAACTTTTATACATAAAATACTATAGAACAGGTATAACAAGTTATTAGAGTTGTTGTTGACTTGTTGACTTGTTGACTTGTTGATTGTTCATTATTCACTCACCAGCCTCTTTCACCATGTCCGGGTAGTCGAGGCCGGTTGAGCCGGGCTTGGTGAACTGAAATTGTGAATAACGATATACTTATAAGCCGTGTTAGCAGCCTTCAATTCGCATGCCTATAGAATCTCGAACTCTCGAGTACTTTCCCGGCAATCATGCTAAAATTGGGCATTTAGAAATATTAGAAAACGATAAAAATGCCCGCACCTGCCCCGCCTTGTTTTCCTCTCAACAGTTCCCTGCATTTGAAATGCAAAATTTTCTACACCGTATTTACCCTCTGTAATTCTGACCATAGAGATCGTTCAAATACATTTCAAATCCATTTCAAATACAAATTTGAAGTGGCAAACAAGGCAGTGCCATTACTGAATATTACTTATCGTTTTCTATCATTTTCAAATGCAAATTCTTGCATGATCATTTCAGGTTTTGCACTCAAAATTTGAGATTGTATAAGAATCTGGAATTCTTAGAATTCTATAAGAACTGAAAAGTGGCGGACAGCCAAAAGAAAATGCAGCAGAATGCAATAAGAATTCTTTAGTATCAAAACCTTGGTCATGCCGACACCTGACGTCACGTAGACTTCTTGTCTTCGCCATTGTGTGAATCTAAAGAAACATTTTAACATAAAAAAAGACAAAAAAGAAACGTAAAAACGAAAAGAAAAACAAAAGTATTGAAAAATGACTTTACAAAAACTAAATAGAAATGACTTTAAAACTAAATAGAAATCAAAAAAAAGGACAAGAAACTTTGTCAAAGGTCAAAATGCAATTGAAATGCAATTGAACAGAAATGTGCAGGCAACTATGCCTGTAGCCTTATCACCCGAAAATGGGGAAAGACTGGGGGAAAAGAGAGCAAAAAATGATCTCGAAACCCCTTTTCTTTTCCCCCCAAATCTTCTCTTATTTTCTCTCTCCCTCAATTTTCCCATATTCTAGCTGTCTTTCTTTTCTCCCACTTTTCTTCCTTTCTTTTCTACATTTGGTCTGTTATCATCCAACACTCCGAGCAGACTACAACACTCAGATTGTGTTTGTGAGTTGAAAACAAAATATTGAAGTTTAGAGTGGAATTTGTGGAGAAAATTTAGAACAATTTAGACGCTTTTTATTCAGTGACTTCATTTCTTGACCAAACGCTCAAATTTAACATAGATTTTTGAGAAAAATATTGTTTGTGATCGCTCAATATTGTTAATAAACAAAATAAACAAAAAAAATAACAAAACAAAAAAACAAAATAAACGCTCAATAAACAAAATATTGTTTGTGCTAGAAATGATCGCTCAATCATTTAGTGCTTGATGAGACACGTGGCTAGGAGGTCTCGATCCCGAGTTTCATTTGGCAGACACGTCAAAATGAATAGTCTGTAATCGACTACATCGTGGACCCCGGCAAAGACCCAGGTATAAATTTACAGCTTACAGAATATCTTCTTTTTAAATCATTTTTCCCATGGAAAATCGCTGTGTGAATGACTGGCGAGATGTTCTTTGCGCGGCCGCGTAATCACTGATAATGTGTGATTTTTAGTGGGTTTCTCTGAATGGAAAAGTGAAAAGGTGGACTTTTCAGTTTTCCTTCCAGATGTTCTTTGTGCGGCGGCGTAATCGCTCTCGATCTGGCGCAAGACTTCTGGTTAACCCCCTCCCTCGACCCCCTCATTAGTGAGACATGGTCATTGCACTTTTGACTGTGTTGACCTGTGTCGCAGCCCGAGTTGGGGGGTTCGCTACCGCCAAATTTTTGCGTGAGAGGCTGCGTTCGCGCGGCCCTGCCAATCATGTCAACAATTGTAATGTTGTGTCGCAGCCCGACAGATTTATCCAAATTTTAGCTCCACTGTGCAACGGTTTTGTTTAAAGTGTTTATTTTAATTATCAACCAGCTCTTGCTATTTTTTATTCACATATTACATCACACATTTTCGCTCACACATTACTTGAATTTCTTTAATGGAGACTAAAAATTCAACTCTGAGAGAAAAGGAGCCGTTCCCAGTTGAATAAACCCAAAATCAAACTAATCTTTAGATGTTCTGTCCATTTCTTGAGTATCTTAAACTCCAATAAAAGGATTTAAACTTCTTTTTTTGCCCGTGGCAACAAGGCATCTCCGGACCACCGAGGTGTCCTTTGTGCGCGAGCGTAATCGCTTTCGATCTGGCGCAAGCCCTTTGGTTAACCCCCTCCCTCGATCGCCTCATAAACTTACCTGGCTGGGGGGTTTCTGGCGATCATCAAGACGGTAATTCCATGGTGAGAGACATGGTCATTGCACTTTTTGACTGTGTTGACCTGGGTGGCAGCTCCGAGTTCAGTTCGCTGGCTAACAGCTGGACTTTTGCGTGAGGGGCTGCGTTCGCGCGGCCCTGCCAATCCAATTTCAAACTTACAAATGTTAGATCGTTCCATGATCCTCCTCCGTCCTATTTTTGTATTTCCAAGATTCTTCGTAAACAGAATCAGTTTTGGGCGTCATTTTTTATTTTTATGATCAATTTATTAGTTCCTAAACCTGGCTGTTTCTTCACGAAACTCGGTGAAGCCTGCTGCTGATCCACTTTTAAGTAATTTTTACCCATTAGTTGTTATCAAACACTTGGACTTTTCGTCAATTTTGACAAACTACATTCACCTATTGTGCCTAGTCTCGAGCCAAACTGATATTTTAGTTACTATTGTTATTATTGAACGATCTAAGTCTATTCTTCTCTGCAAACGTGTCCTCCCTTTGTTTATCCCCTTTATTGCCGAAAGAGAAAGGGGCGGTCCTTACTAGGAGGGCGGGGGAGGCTCTCAAATTTAGAGTCCCCCCTTCCCCATAATTACTCTTTTGTAATTTATTCGTCTTATTATACTACTGTAAATAAAGATACTACATATCTTTCCGGGTCTGGGTGCAACTGCAGTACAGGTTGGCCATTTCACAGGGACTCCTTCAAATACTTTGGAGGAGTTGAGTTGGGGTTGTCGGGGTGTTAGAGATTGCTTTTTATGATAATGCGATCCACTTTCTTTAACTTAACTCCAAACTTCTAGTCCACATCCGTTTCTACCGAGGAACTAAAATATGGAGAAGCTCCACCGAGATACCCTCCTTGTACCCTTGAAGCTTTATTTTTTGTATCATTTCCTTTACATTTTCTTTCTTCACTAACTTTATTAGCTCCTTAGTAAGCTACGTGAAACACAAAAATCAGCTGAACATTGGAAAAAGCCGAGTATCATTTTTAAATTAGACACGATAGAGAGTTGGAGAGAAAGCGCTGTTACTGTGGAAGACTTCATAAAACATTTTGAAAAACGTAAATCTCGATTTTAAATGGGAATATAAAAGATGAAAACGGCAGAAAAGCTTTAATAGTCAGATTTTAGAATTGTTTTAGCAAAAAAAAAAAAGTAATGTAATGCTGGAAAATATGCGGAAAATTATGCGAAATATAATGTAGCACACAGAATGTCCAGTATTGTACAAAGCAACGGATTAAAGAACGGATTAAAGAAAGGGATTAAAGAAGGAAAAGTTTGTAAAAGAATTTCTCTTTTTAAATGATGAATTTCGATTTCTCATCTTGTAAAGCCAACGGATCATCGTTGAGAATGTGGGCGGCAGCAGAGGGAATGCGAATGAGCACGGATCTCACAACAGCCGACACGCTCCTTCAATCCGCGAACAATCTCTCGTGGATCTTGAAAGGAAATCATTTCATCGATTACTGGTTCAATCGTTAGGTATCCTTTTCTCTTTGGTTGCGGCAAAGGAACAAAAAAATCTGTCCTAACCCCACTGAGTTGCTGTAGCTTTGAAACGCCCTCATAGTACTCACTTAGCTGCTCAAATGTCGCGAGCTACTGACGATCCCTATGCTGAGTTACTGTAGCAGATTTTATATATATTACGTCTGATCTAGACTGATTCTAGATAGGATGTCCGATCTAGAGTGAAGTGAGGTCAAGCGTCTCATCTAGAATCAAGCCGATCACTCTAAATCAGACGTTCGATCCAGACTTAAATTTAGAGTGATCGGCTTGATTCTAGATGCACTTTTGACCTCACTTTACTCTAGATCGGACGTAATATATGTTACGTCCGAACTGAGGGCGTCCATCTCCGTCCGGACGTCCGAATCGGAGATGGACGTCTCCTCAGATTCGGACGTAACATATACATTTACATACTACAGCATACTATGGCAATTCTTATATACATTCACATAAATAATGTAATACAAACAATACAAAAGCACAATCCCTAAGCCCTAAACCCTAACTCTAAGCGGAAAGAAAAAAAAATCCATATAGACGAAAAAGAATCAAAGCCGGATTGAACCCTTGACCTCTTGACTAGGATACAAGCCTCTTAGCCAGTTGGCCATGACAACATTATGTTACGACCTTGCCAGCATTATTTGCAGTAACTGTCCTTATTCTACGGGCAACTGTTTCGCGGGTTACTGTTGCTATCCAAAAATATTCTAAATAAAGCTCATACATTTTGCAGTAATAAAAATATTTCTCTACTCATTTACCTCGCGATCCTTTGTCTCCGGCAGATTTCTGTATAGATAGAAAAGTGAGAAAATCGATGGGATGATGAAGAGGAAAACGAAAGAGAAACATCCGAAATGATTGTAGGCGGGCAGGGTGAGATAGGAGACGATCAAAGAGACAAATGTATTCGAAACGAACATCTGAAATGATCAGTCTGAAATCACTTTCCCATTCACCAACCATCGATTGTACTAAAGAGCGATATTTTTGCACCACCAACTCGCTCGTGATAAAACACGAGATCGGACCGAGACCCAACCTGAAAAACGAAGGTTTTTTTGGCTGGATTAGTGGATAATTTGGAAAAAAACGGTAATCTTTCCTTCAGATTTTGTCTGTTCTACTTTAATTTTGCCTCTATTCAATTCACAATTTGATTCCACGTCAAATGAGATTAAAATTAAGTGAATCGAAAAGGAAGATGACAGTAGGTTTTCCAAGATCTAGAATCCTCTAGAAACTCGAATCCTCTAGAAACTAGAATCCTCTAGAAACTAGAATCCTTTAGAAACTAGAATCCTCTAGAAACTCGAATCCTCCAGAAACTAGAATCCTCTAGAAACTCGAATCCTTCAAAATCTTTTAGAAAGGTAAGCTAGTTATCATCATTTACCCATAAGAGATTCCGAAGATGCAAAGCGCGACGATGCACCCATTGCCCCAGATATGACCGTAGTGGAAGGACATTTTATCGAAAAACACGTAGAGCACAAAGGAGAACATGTTAAGGACGCCGAGGAGGAGAAGAAGGGGACGACGACCAAATCTGGAATCAGAGAAAAACATTTATTGGGTTGTTACGTTGAAAATGATACGCTAGTAGAGAATGCCCTTCAGAGAGAAAAAAATTTTTTTTCGAGACGTTTTCATCTTAAATTTGAATTTCTGTCGCAAATTTTAAATATTAATTTTCGCACGACGTCGCATTCCAATTGACGTCGCCGCCATTTGGTGGTAGTCGATGGGAGCGTCTTTTCTGTTTCGTTTTCAAATCATTTCTTTTTTGTCAAATTAATTGAGAGTATTGTTTTACGCGATAAAATTTGTGTTGAAATGAGAAAGAAATCTATTTCAATTTGAGAGCCGAGTGGAGAATCCGGAACTTTTCGTAGCCGGACTAGAATTGGAGCGGATGAGAAAGAAATCTATTTCGATTTGAGAGCCGGAAGTGGAGAATCCGGAACTTTTCGTAGCCGGACCACAATGAAGGCCAAAACTAACTGTAAGATGGTTTCGTTGTTTTCATTTAACTCCCGAAAACGAGGCTCATCTTCTGGATTGTTACAAAACTTGCTTTTAAAACAAATTTGATTCAACAACAGGAAGTCAAGTTAATCAAAATATTGTCTATTTTCTTTGATAATCTTCCCATTTCTCTGGCAGTTCTTGAATCCTAAAAGTCTTAGACTTCTGGGCGAAAAAATCCGTCAACCACTTCGGATTTGGAGGATTTGTGCCACAGCCAAACGAGTCATTTTTTGCAAACTGATAACAATTCCCTCTATTCATATAAACGATGAATTGCGAGTTGTTTACAAGTGTATCATTTTCAACATAACAACCCAATAGAAGGATTTGGAAAAGCTGATTGTTTTTGAAATAATCAAATCAGGTTTTTCTGAGCTGATTGAGATGAGCCGTTCCTGTTCTGAGTTACTGTAGCTGTTTCTGTTCTGAGTTACTGTAGCCGTTCCTATTCTGAGTTACTGTAGCCATTTCTGTTCTGAGTTACTGTAGCCGTCTCATGCTCAGGATAAGGATTACTGTAGCTGTCCGAAACTATACTACGACAAGAATAAAGCTTGATTGAATATGGTCAGAATTTCATATTTATAATAAATTTTTATGTTTTATAAATGCGTACCTGGAAACGACATATGTCCCCGGGATACCCGATAGAAATTGGCACAAAATGAACCCAAAGGAAGCAAGCTGAAAAGAATACAATTTTTTTCGTTGTCAACTTGTTAATTGAAAGCATTACAATTGTAGTTCTTGTAGTTGTTCAGTAGTCTTTTGTTCTTACAATCAATGCCTTTTACCTGAGCTGTTTCAGAGTCGAACATCTCCTCGAGGAACTCCGTTGATAGATAGATCATTGGGAAAAGACCCATCACAAGCTGAATAGGCAAAGTTCTTTTTAAGTCTTTTTAAGATTGGAAACCTGTAAACTGGCAACCCCAATGAGATATGGAGTGCGGAGATAGGCCTCGGAGAGAACGAATTTCACGCCGCCGAAGAACGAGAATTTCTCGTCTTGGTCGAGCGCTTCTTTGGCGATCTCATTCAACACTTCAGCCTTGTCCGTGTTTAAACCTGAAAGTGAAGAGTTTTTGGGCTGATAGTCTGGTTTAGATGCTCGAATCAGTCGGGTTTCACTATCTTGTTAAGCCTATCACGAGTTACTGTAGCAGCCACTTGCGGGTTACTCTAGCTGTTCCTGTTCTGGGTTACTGCAGCCGTTCCTGTTCTGAGTTACTGTAGCTGTTCCTGTTCTGGGTTACTGTAGCCGTTCCTGTTCTGAGTTACTATAGCCGTTCCTGTTCTAGCTTACTATAGCCGTTCCTGTTCTGAGTTACTTTAGCCGTTCCTGTTCTGGGTTACTGTAACCGTCTCATGCTCAGGATAAGGTTTCCTATAGCTGTCCGAAACTATACTACGACAAGAATAAAGCTTTGTAAGTGCTGCTGCAATCAATCATCAAACCAACCGTAGTAGAACCCAATCGAAGCCTTTGCAGCCTCGAGATTGTTTTTGACGAGCAACAGATATTTGGGGGTTTCGTGAAGGGGAAGAATGGCGAACAAACAAATAAAACCCGGTAGAATAGCGATGGCTAAAGTTGGGTAAGAAAAATTGTTTATTTCAAGAGCTTTTACCAGTTAAAACGACTAGATTTTTGCCGAAAAAGCGATCCATTCCGGCGCCCATGCCCACAACGGTGCACAAGAGGAAAGTCACCTCGGCGAGAAAAGATGAGACACCGCGGAGATGGGTTGGCGTCGTTTCCTGCAATTATAGGAATATGGGTATTGATTTGAGAGCAAGCCATTTTAAACAGCACTTTCTAAACAGCACTGTCTAAACAGCATTTTATTTCCAGAAAACTACCGTAATCGTACCACCATTCGAGCCCAATTTTGGTATCATAATATTTTGAATGGGTGCTGATGCTGTGATGCTTCAATACCTTATGACTTTAACTGGCCCAAGTCCCATTCTTGCAGCAACTTTCATCATTTCGGAATCACAAGCAATAGTACCAGTCAATAATACTGGTGCTTTGATTACGGTAGTTTTCTGGCGCTTTGATTACGGTAGTTTTCTACAATAGGCTAGCCATAAAGCTATGAAAAGCCTTGTAATCAGTCAACCAAAACATGAAATCAACAATACTTGTTAAAAGTTTATACCTGCAGAAATAGAATCAGTGTGCCAAAGGTGATCCCACCAGCCACCGAAATGGCGCCACGGGCCACGAAATAAAGCTCAGGGATTTCAAAAATAATCGAAATGCATGAAAGGATTGATGAACAAAGAGAAGTTGAACAAGCATACAAAAGAGCATCTGAGATTTATCAAAATTTTAAGCAATTTTCTCTTTGATTTCTTCTCTCTTTACTTTTTCTTCCAAACTTTTCGGTGATGACAGGGATCAGGAGGTTTCCGAAGAGAAATCCGAGATGCCAAACGTTTAGAATGGCTGACCAGATCCATGTGTAACTTTCTTCGGAAAGTCCGCCCTGCGATATATTAGAATAGAGGTTAAAAGGCTTTACTGGCTTTAAAAGAATACCTCATAACCCCTCTCAATCGCTGTCTCGTTGAGGAAGAGCTTGAACGAAAGATAGGAAGTATTTGGATAGGTGTTTGAGTAGCCTTCCTGTAATCGAGTTTTGAGGAGAATTTATTGAAAATGGGGCTTTTAAGATGGGTTGATGGATCAGGGTGGATTACTGAGCTTCAGGGGATTACTGAGCTGGCATTAGCCCCTTCGGCTTGCTAGGTAGCTGATCTTATTACTTATTATTAGCCTGTGCCGGGTCAGTACTAGTGTACATCTCTCAAACACCTTTTATACCTTGCTGAGACTAGACTATGGCTTCGGCTTTAGCTCTAGCTTTGGCTTTGGCTTCAGCTCCGGCTCCGGCTTTAGCTCTAGCTTCGGCTTTGGCTTCAGCTCCGACCTTAGCTTCAGCTCCGGCTTTAGCTCTAGCTTCGGCTTTGGCTTCAGCTCCGGCGTCGGCTTTAGCTTCAGCTCCGGCTTTAGCTTCAGCTCCAGCTTTAGCTTCAGCTCCGGCTCCGGATTTTAATGTGCTAGAAGAGAGTTACTAGAAAAACTCTTCGAACCGAGCCCTGGGTCTGTAAGTAAAGCTGACAAGGCTGACTTGAGAAATTGAACATCTTAGGAAAAATCCTCTACTAACCGGTCATAGATTTGATACTATTGACTGTGCTAGTCCCTTGTTAATCCCTGAAAGATTGAAAACTCTAAAATTGTATGATGGGTTACTAGAAAACTTACGGGAAAATTGATGCATATGCCGAGCATGGATGTGATGAGGATCGTCTTGAAACGACTTCCCTCCGGGGCGTAAACATTTTTGACTTTTGCGGAGAATTTCTTGTAGATGGTCATTTCCTTTCTAGGGATCAACCATCCGGCTGAAAATTTGAATCAATATCTCCAAGGGGAATCAAGAGAGATCGACAAGAGAGATCGACAGAGTCTTCAACAAAATGAACAGCCGATTTTTAAAGGTAAAAAGCCTCTGACGTGAGTAAATGGACACTGAGATAGCAGAAAAAAAAAAGTGAAAACTTTGAGAGGCTCTCAAACTTTTTCCGTGTTGGAAAAAAGAAATGAATGAACGATAACAGCTGACAGAATTGAGAATGAGAAGGGAAAATGAAAGTAAAGGAAAGAAGGAAAAGAAATGGAACTCTTTTTAAAGGGGAAAAATATCATACATGTTTAAGGGTCATTTCTGCGGATGTTTACTTCAAAGATTGAGGAAAATTGGGGGGAAAAAAGGCCTTGGACACAAGCGGGCCTTGGACACTTCACTGGAATGGCAAAGTCTGCGCTGTTTAAAAAGGCTGTTGGGTCGGTTATTCAAAAATCCTGAAACATCAAAAATCCAAAATTCAAGCCTTTTTACACAGGTTACACTAAACTATTCAATTTTTTTTTTGCTTAAAAATACTGTAGCCAAAGTATCCCTCATTTTCTATAGACTACAGACAGACTTCCTGCGCCTAAATAAATGCTATTGGTAGTACCAGAGTTGTTCGAAGAGTAATTTGAAAGATGAACGGATCAGGCCAGGCTTGGCCTTGCTGCAAAAGCCACAAAAAAGACACTGGACCCAACCAAACCTGGATCTGGCCTTTGGCTTGTCTTTGTCCTTGCCTGGGTAATGAAGAATATACAAATCCTACAAGACTTTAAATATCCTGCCTACAATTTTACAGAGAATAGTGTTGCCCCAAAAAAGGCTATTGGGTCAAAAGTCAACCCTTCTTATGTAAGAGATTGTATGTAAGAGATCGGATCTGTACATTATGTAAGAGATTACTGATCCAAAGAAGTAATTTTCGAGTGTTTTCTAAAAAAGCAAAAGCCTGGTCGATGGCGGACCTGAACTAGGGACAAGAGTAGCACACTATCCACTAGGCGATCGAGGCAGACTGACTGGTCCACTACGAATGCCTTAAGTATTGCAGCCAATAGACTAGCTTGCTGTTTGGTGAAATTGGTCAAAGCTTTGAAGGCTTATATCTTGAAAATATCTTGAAAAAATCTTGAAAAAAAATGATAAGTCGGATTTGAAAGCATTTTTGGGATGGCCTTAACCAGGGGTTGTTTGTATCTCGGAATCAGATCGCTCCTGAAATATTACTTCAAAGAGTTCCCTGATTAAACTTATAAATAACGAATTTTTCTGTTACACTGGTTTTTGGAATAAATTGTCCAATCTCAAAATTGGTGGACAATACATCATATCGGGAAAGTTTATGAGAAAAATGATATTATGTTTATAGCGAGTAAAAACTCGCAGAGTTTGGCGAGCAAACATATTGGGTTGGGGAGAATGAGTCGGCGCCGAAAATGAAAAAAATGTCTAAAACTTCTATTCGACTTCGTCAAATAATATGCGTTTGATATGAGTAGAATGGTTAACTAATTCTCTACAAAATGACATTTAAAAGAAAATTCAAATAGCGTCTCCGCTCAAGAAAAAGCCATTTTTTCACAAAAACTACAAACTGTGATCTAGAAAAAACCATTGGTGGGATCTTCCTGCAAATTTGGCAACTTAAGTAATTAAATGTGCTCTATCTTTATTATATAAACACCAAAGAAGGTTTATGTGAAAGAAACTGTTCAAATGATGAATCAGACTCTTTGCCATTTTAACCAGCTGCGTTTGGAAGTTCATAAACTCCACGAAAGAAAAGCTTTGTGGAATCTCTCAAAAGTCATTTTGTAGAGAAATAGTGGATCCTTTTGATGAAACCAAACGTATGTTTAAAAAAGGCTTTATGTGTGCAAAAAGTCCCTTTAAAGTTCGGCGCCGACTCATTCTCCCCAACCCAATAAAACGAATTTTTCAAAAACAAAAACATTAATCAAAAAAAGCCTACGATTTCTAGTGAAATGAAAAGTGAAAATTTATCGTTTTCTTAAAATATCTTTTTTCTTCGGTAGCCTACTTGGGTATGAGTCAAAAATGTTTGGTATTCACGTTGGATTGCGTGCAAATGAAAGATGCGAAGGAGATGGAAATGGTGAATAGATCATTTGAGAGGAGACTTGTTTATAAAGTAATGTGAGATGTGGTAAATGGAAAATGGAAAATGAGAGGGGAATTCGGGAATGAACTCGTCGGTTGACATGCGGAAAGGTGGGAGAGTGACGAACTACTTAAATATAGAGAAATGATGAAAGTTGCTGCAAGAAGAGGGCTTGGGCCAGTTAAAGTCATAAGATTTTGAAGCATCACTACCCATTCAAAATACGTGGAAACAAGAGCTGAAGATCCCAACAATACAAATCATGCTGGGATAAGCTGATCTACGGTGCCAGATTCGATTTCCCAGTAATCTGCTTATCCAAATTGAATGTAAAGTTCGATTACAATTAGAATAAGCTGATCTACGGTGCCAGATTTCCCCAGATCCAGCGGAGTTCTTTAGCGAATAGTTTTGGAATTCTGTATCAGAAAATTCGAGACTTTTGCTGTTTGTTACTGTTTTTGGAGCGATTTGGATACGATTAACATTAGCATTAACAATTGCGGTTTGAAAAGATTTGCTTCGGCATTAACAATTGCGGTTGCGATTAGCAATTTGAGAAGATGAATGGATAGTTTTTGTCGGTTCTTTCTATTACCGGAGATGGCCCAAAAGGTACTAGTAATAGTAAGCACAAGTAAGTAAGCACAATAAACACAAGCGAAAAGGTAATAGTAAGCATAGTGCTCCTTTTTTGTTAGAAAGTAAATAACATTAGTATTTTTTTTGTTAAGCACCTTAGAATAGCCTAAATTAAGTATATATAGCTTCTCGCGATATTGAGTAACATCTTTTGATTGTTTTAGGAAGAATGCTAAGTGACAGACTCTTACAGAACACTGAGATAATCTGGCTAATACTAAGCCTTGGGTAACGAAGACTTATCTTAAGGCTAATACTAAGCCTTCGGTACCGAAGCCTTATCTTAAAGGTAATACTAAGCCTTCGGTACTGAAGGCTCATCTTAAGAATAATACTAAGCCTTCAGTATCGAAAGCCTATCTTAAGGCTAATACTAAGCCTTGGGTACCGAAGGCTTATCTTAAGGCTAATACTAAGCCTTCGGTACCGAAGGCTTATCTTAAGGCTATAGTCATGACACCCCAATAAATGTATAGGGGTATAGTCATGATATCCCAATAGGATTTCTAAATTAACCCGGTCTAGCCAGATTCAACTATTTTTGTAGCCTTTCCTTTCAGAGCTTTGAAAGAAGCCTGGTCAACAGTAAGTTTCAATCTTATCATGCATTCTAAAACTGATCGATGACCTCTTCTAGAGTATTTGAAAAAGAAACGAGAACATCGTTGAGGTCAGCAGCTGGAGAACTGGCGGCGGTAAGGGTGTGGTGTTCTCAATTCCCTCAATCTCTTTCCACCGGTCGATGGGCACTCGAAATTTGTGGGAGATGTCACCTTTCTTCACTTCAACTCATCCTCTCACCATTCTGCACTTCAACTCATCCTTTCAATTTTCTGCGCGTAAATAAACTTACAGATGGGAGAGGAAAGAAAATGAAAGGAATTGGGGCTTTTCGATCAAATTTCGAGTAGACTGAACGGCTTTTCGATATTTGAGAGCAGATTTCACGGTCACAAAATCACAAAATTCAAGAAATCAAATCAGAATGATCATTTCGATTAGAAGTTTTCTAGTTTTGTAGTCTTCTAGTTATCTAGTTTCCTAGTTTTCTAGTTTTGTAGTTTTCTATTTATCTAGTTATCTAGTTTTCTAGTTTTCTAGTTTCCTAGTTTCCTAGTTCTCTAGTTCTCTAGTTCTCTAGTTTTCTAGTTTTCTAAAGAAGAGGTCATGAAGCAATTATTTGACTACAGTAGGCTGCATTAAAAAGTTTAAATAAGCTACTATTGACCAGGGTTTTTCCAGAATCAATTTTTTCAACCTGGACCTGGTCTCCTTATAAACCCTAGGAACATTCGTTCTCCATTTCGAATCTAGAAAAATTATATAGCGCCTAAAGGTACTGTAGATATTGAAAACTATCTACATTTCGTTTTTTGATAACTGTATTTGTCATGACGCCATTCGTCGAGCAAAGTTCCCACCGAATCTGAGGAAATTGTGGACAAACTGGCCGTTCGGTTGTTAATTAGTTTCGGGAAAACCCCCCTACTTTTTTGACTATAAAATACCGGTAAATCTAATTCAAGAAAAGAAAAAGAAATAATTGAAAACCCAATGGAAGTGTTGAGCGGAAATTGGTCAATTTCAGCTGCTTTTTGATGAAGTTTTCAAAGAAAAGGTTTCATGATTTCATTGAACGAATTGTTTGGATACTTTACAGTAATCGGAATACTTTGCAATCTTAAGCTTCCTAAAACGCATCAACTTTTGATATTTATCGTAGGCTTGGCTTAAGTTTTTCTTTTACCGTAACTCGGCTAAAAAATAAAGTCAGAATTACGGTTCAAAAACGGTCTTAGAAAGCATACCAGTTGGATTTACTCTATTCAGAACCGCTTAGAGCTTTTCAACTCCATTAGCAGGGCCGCGCGAACGCAGCCCCTCACGCAAAAATTTAGCTGTTAGCGAACCCCAACTCGGAGCTGCCACACAGGTCAACACAGTCAAAAGTGCAATGACCATGTCTCACCATGGGGGTCCCGTCTTGATGATCACGAGAAACCCCCCAGCCAGGTAAGTTTATGAGAAGGCGATTGGCGTGACATAGGGAAGACCCCTTTGCCAAATTGCGCGCCTTTACAGGAGGCAACAAAGTACGCACAACGAGAGAGC